TTTCTATTTCTATTATTCGGAAAGAACGAAGAAGAACGAGCAAGAAACTTGCGTGTTGCTCTTTTGTCCTAACTTTACATTTTTAAGTTGAAATGTGTGTACCAAGAGTGGTCAAAGAATTACGGATTTAGTGCTTATGGTACAGTTGGTTACATTAATGAGACACGGATCATATATAAGGATTTATTTACACATGAGTTGTTCAACGGTACAAGTTGTCCCGTCATACGATTATTGACGTGTGCAAATTATCAAGACATTTTATAACTCATTGATCTGCCTTTTTTATGCATGGCAACATATAGTAGAATAATTGCAGACTTTAGTCTTATGAAATGGTAAAGCATATGAGTTCCCATGAGAGTCGTAATAGACTTCTGTCGATGGTCGACGGTTACTATTTTTCACAATGTTCTTTGCTGTTCCGTTCTTATATTATACTAGCTGTACCCGCGACTTCGTCCGCGTGGAATTTAACTTTATTTTTCTAAAATAAAAGCTGATGTAATAAGGAATAACATAGGCTATGTCCTTATTACATCAGCTATCTGATAAAAAAAATCCCGTCAAAATCGGTACAGCCATATCAGAGATTAGTCGTCATATAGATAGATAGATCATATAGATATAATCTATTTCATTTTTACTAATCACACACAATTACATGTTCGGTCATAATGTTCATAATATAATATCATAAGAGTCTGTAATAGACCTACATGAATAAAGATATTTGAATTTTGAATTTTACAAACTTAAATTTAAAGAATACAAAGCCGGGCAAATGTCTCCTGGATATCTAGGTACAACGCCTTCATTACCGGGTCTGGTAGGGTTGCCAACTTTTTATGACAAAGAATAAAAAATAAAGTATTAGGAAAAAAGTGTATTTTTCAAACTTTTTTTGCATTAAAAACGTGCTTTTAACACTAGAGCTGTGACAAATGTCACAACTCACAATTGACATCTAACATTTCGTTTAGTAATTCGTCGATTAAACAGAAAAATGTCAGTTTTCAAAATTAGAAGCTAGAATTGCCTCCTTTTATATAAGTCAATTAAATTAAAAACGCCGTCTTAATCATTATCTAAATACTTTTAAAATTATATATAATACTTCTGTGTAAATTAATAATAATAATAATAATATCTCAGGACAATTCACACAGCGCCATCTAGTCCCAAGCTAAGCAGAGCTTGTGTTATGGGTACTAGACAACTGATATAAATACATGGATACATTTTGTTTGTAAATAAATACATATTATACATATAGAAAACACCCAGACCGATACAAACAATCATACTCATGAATACAAATGTTTGTACCGTGCGAGGAATCGAACCCACGACCATCGGATAGTAGAGCGGTATGCTAAACCACTAGACCACTACGCTGTCAAAAACTTTAAAAGAAAAAATAACTTAAATTAATTTAATAACTTTATAGGCTTGTCTTGTAAAAATGTACATTTTGATTACTGCCATTTTTCTATTTAATCGACGATACATAAATCGTTTCCATTATCCATTATAAATATTTCGTTCAGTAATTATAAATCGTTGAATACTCATAATGAGTATTTTGTTTTACGTATCACAGTGAAGGTTGAAAATAAAGTATTTATGCATACTTTATTTGTATGTATAAAGTGTAAAGTATTATCAAAAATAAAGTAGGATACGTTGTTATAAAGTATGGTTGGCAAAGCTAGAGTCGCCCGGGTGGGATGCTGAGCTGCCGAGATGCCCAGCGGCGGGAGAGCGGGCGACCGGACGCGGCCCATTGTCGCGCACGCTTCCTCTGACCTCCACTCGTGGCCAGTTAGCTCCTACCTATTTTACACACACGTAACACGTGGTCAGTGTTATATTATACACCCAATTATATTTCACTAGCTGTGCCCGTGGATTCTCGCATTAAATTTCTATAAAAAATATAATCTGTGCTCGCGGTTCAATCGCATTAAATTTCAATAAAAAATATAGTCTGTGCCCGTGGATTCACTCCCATTAAATTTCTATAAAAAATATAGTCTATGCCCGTGGATTCTCGCATTAAATTTCAATAAAAAATATAGTCTGTGCCCGTGGATTCACTCCCATTAAATTTCTATAAAAAATATAGTCTGTGCCCGTGGATTCACTCCCATTAAATTTCTATAAAAAATATAGTCTGTGCCCGTGGATTCACTCCCATTAAATTTCTATAAAAAATATAGTCTGTGCCCGTGGATTCACTCCCATTAAATTTCTATAAAAAATATAGTCTGTGCCCGTGGATTCACTCCCATTAAATTTCTATAAAAAATATAGTCTGTGCCCGTGGATTCACTCCCATTAAATTTCTATAAAAAATATAGTCTGTGCCCGTGGATTCACTCCCATTAAATTTCTATAAAAAATATAGTCTGTGCCCGTGGATTCACTCCCATTAAATTTCTATAAAAAATATAGTCTGTGCCCGTGGATTCACTCCCATTAAATTTCTATAAAAAATATAGTCTATGCCCGTGGATTCACTCCCATTAAATTTCTATAAAAAATATAATCTGTGCCCGTGGATTCACTCCCATTAAATTTCTATAAAAAATATAGTCTGTGCCCGTGGATTCACTCGCATTAAATTTCTATAAAAAATATAATCTGTGCCCGCGGTTTCACTTGCATTAAATTTCAATAAAAAATATAGCCTGCTAGCTTATTCTGATCCATAAGCTATATTACTGTAAAGTTTCATTAAAATTCAGTAGTTTTTCGTGAAAGAGTAACAAACATCCACCCGAAAGTTTGTGAACTTTCGCGTTTATAATATTAATAAGATATATAAAATTGTTTCTTATTTATATATTTTCCAAAGCCGGGCCTGAGATCTCCTTGTAATTACATATAATTAAATATTTTATGTACTGTATATGAATGTATATGAACGTTTTATTATTTTATTTATAAACTCTTAGAGCGTCACATCATATTTTGTGACATCTGTGACTTGTGTGACTGTCATGCATGTAGGCGATGTAATCAGTTTCAATCAGTTCAACCGTCCGCTTATTTGTTATTTCAATTCTATAAATAAATGCTATTTTATTTTGTGTGATGTAAAGATTTGATTTCAGCGATATAATGTTAACAAGTAGATTATTTTTTATTCAAAGTCCCATCAAAATCGGTTGAGCCGTTTCAGAGATTAGCAAGAAGAAACAGACAGACAATTTTTTTATTCTAAATTCAATAAATATATCTGGTCTTCACACAGCGCCATTTGGTCCCAAGCTAAGCAGAGCTAGTGTTATGGGTACTAGACAACTGATATAAATACATAGATACATTATTTTGTAAATACATACATAATATACATAGAAAACACCAAGACTAATACAAACAATCATACTCATGAACACAAATGTTTGTACCGTGCGAGGAATCGAACCCCCGACTGTCGGATAGAAAAGCGGTATGCTATAACACTAGACCACCGAGGCTGTCATCAATATAATATTAGAAGAAGTATCTTGTAAATAAAACTAGCTGACTCGTGTAAGGAGGAATCGAACCCGCGACACTCGAAAGGAAGGTGTGCTAATCCGCGAGACCACAGGGGCCGTCGAAGTGTACAGAATAAATAAGTATAATTAAAACAATACGTTTGAATCGCAAGAGACAAATCTCCAGCTTCCTCGAAATGTTAAATGGGGTTACGGTAATAAATCGGCGATCGGTAATGATTCGCTGAGCAGCGGTGCGATAACGATAAATTGATATCAAAATAAACAAAATAAACAATTGCATGCGGCTCGTGTGAGACGGACCCGTGCAGATCGGGTTCCGTACGTATTAGGAATATTATTCATTTTCATAATACTTACTATTTAATAATTAACTGACTTTATATGACAAATCAATTGCCATATAAATTTAAATCGTTTTAGAAAATAGGGGTCGATAGAAGGGTGATAATTTGGGGTTGTATGTATATTTCAATATAAATAGGGATATAATAATTAGTTATAAACCTATTCTCAGACCTACGCGGTGCGATAACGATAAATTGATACGAAAATAAACAAAATAAGCAATTGCATGCGACTCGTGTGAGACGGACCCGTGCAGATCGGGTTCCGTACGTATTAGGAATATTATTTATTTTCGTAATATAACATTTATTAATTAACTAACTGAGCCGGTAAACTTTGTTTTGCCATATAAATTTAAATTTTATTAATAATTAAAAAAAACAAAATTAATTAGTAGGGTTTTTTAAGTAGTTTTGTCCTGAAACCCGCAAAAACAAAAGATGTGTTGAGTCGAGTTTATTTTGTGCGCGGGCGCAGCGTCAATCATGTGAACAGGCGGTGAGCTTGTATGGCAAAGGGTTGGCGGGATTTTGACAACGGTATATCGATATTTTAAAATTTATATTATCTATACATACAAATAAATTTGGAGTGTCTGTTTGTAATATTGAAATTACCGTTTTTACTACATGCATATGTATATAAATACGGTACATACACCAAAATAACATTTTTTACTATTTTTATCTGTCTGGACCGATTTTGACGGGACTTATTTTGGCAGGTAGCTGATGTAATAAGTAGTAACTTAGGATACTTTTATTTTAGAAAAATAAAGTTAAATTCCACGCGGACGAAGTCGCGGGAACAGCTAGTATAATATAAGTACATATAGTGGATTATTGTCTATACTTTAAAATTTATACCCTGGCACACAATTGCACATCCGGTGATTTTTGTAAAACATTTATATAAAGTTTTAACATGAATAATTTTATCGCAAATAAAGTTATTTACCTCTTGACATTTCGACAGTTATTTACCTGTCTCGTAGTATCGACTAGGTTCCACTAGCTGTGGTCACGACCTGAGTATATAGTACACCCTAGTCGAAACGTCGAACCTTTCTTTGCCATAAAATTATTCGTGTTGAAGCACGTTTAACTATATTAATAATGTGTACTAATATATGGCAACGGCATGATGGAAGTTGAGAACCGTATGTGGATACTTCGAAATTATATTGTACTGCACAATTGGTGAGTTTTGTAAAACATTTATATCAAATAAAATTTATAATAACTAATAAAACTTATAAAAATAATTGTTGTATCATTTTCAATAATGTTAAAAAATATATTCGAATATTCGAATATTTAGTTCTAGAACTATTCATTTTATTCGAATAGTGGAAACCCTAATGGGGACTCGAGGGACTTTTTAATATGTAAATATTTTTTAACAGGAAAATTATAAAGTATCGATAAAATATCTTCCCAGCACTGGCCTGTCCTACTATAGCGGTACATACGGGAGTGAGATAAGTCAGCGCATCGTTTTCAATCACATGAGATTTAACATGTCCTTTCAGGGTTGTCACTTTAATAATAATTTCAATATATATATATATATATTGAATATATATATATATATATATATATATATATATATATATATATATATATATATACATCATTATAATTATAACAGAATAACTTAAAATCTAAAATTAAAAATCTTATAATATATAATATAATAATTAAAATATATTATTAAAAGGAGTCCCTTTAGGCAAGGTTACGAAGATACTGGCAGCGTTCCCTCTTTGAATGGCTAAACTAATTCTTTGTCCGAGGTTAGCTGCCAGCTTTGGTCTTCTGTGATGTCGACTAACCTTTTAGTTATTTCCTTGAAAACTCTTATAGCGCTAGGACCCCACGGACCAAGGGTCTCGACACCGAATGGGACAAAATCATGTTCGGAGCCTAGACCCCTGTATTTACATGCTTTATATATTATTAAATATACATAATAAATATAAAATTGAACCCTGTCTGTACATGAGAGATATATGAAAAAACTATTATTCAAAAGGCTTTTTTAACATACTTCTACTATAGTGATAGTAGAACCTAAAACAACGATTGATGCAATTTTATCTGTTAGTCTGTCCGTCCAATGGCACTAATTTAATCTTTGGATTAACTGATTTGGGTGCGGTTTAAATTATTTAATAATATTACTCCTGGAGAACTCTCACAGCGCCATCTAGTCCCAAGCTAAGCAGAGCTCGTATTAGGAGTACTAGACAACTGATATAAATACTTAGATATTTATTTATTATTTTTCTAAAAACATAATGTCAATGAACACAATCATAACAAACAATTATAATTATGAATACAACCTATAGTTGAATTCAAAATAATAGTTAAATAGACTATTTTTTAATATTTATGCATAGACACGGCCCGTTTTCTATTTTATTATAATAGTAATAATAATTTGTGCTTTCGATTTTCTTATAAATTTGTATTCATGAGTATGATTGTTTGTATTGATCTGGGTGTGTCCTATGTATGTATTTACGACAAAAAAATATGTATGTACTTGTATCAGTTATCTAGTACCCATAACACAAGCTTTAGCTAGCTTAACTTAGGACTAGATGACACTGTGTGAATTGTCATGAGATTTTTATTATTATTATTAAATTTATATAAATATTGGTGGCAGCCCTGAGATATCAATACAGTTGGTAGCGTCCCCGGACTGCCCATGAAGGTATAAAAGTGTGTCCTTGAAGGTATCGTACCAATCGTGATACCACCTCTGAGAGAGATCATCAGGAGTCCAAGATGGGAGGCTGCGCCGAATTCATCATTTTCGTAAGTATTTGCTTATATTTTTATATATAAAAATTACGTATCACGTTTGTCCGCGATGGACTCCTAAACTACTGAACCGATTGCAAATTTGTTTTGCACGTTGTATGCAATTTGGTCCAACTAGAAATATAGGATAGCTTACATCTCAATTTATAGTCGCAATATTATTTTATTCAAGAACCTTAGACACAGCAACGCGTAGCTGGGTCTGCTAGTAAAATATATATATGTATATACATATGTATAGTACTAGCTGTACACGTAACTTCGTCCGCGTGGAATTTAACTTTATTTTCCTAAAATAAAAGTAGCCTGAGCTACTCCTTATTACATCAGCTATTTGCCAGTAAAAGTTCCGTCAAAAACGGTCAAGCCATTTCAGAGATTTAACCGAAACAAACTGACAGACAGACAAAAATTGTAAAAAATGTTATTTTGCTGTATGTACCGTATTTATATTCATATGCATGTAGTAAAAGACGGTTATTTCAATATTACAAACAGACACTCCAATTTTATTTATATGTATATATGTATATATAAGAATTTTGCTAATATTATAAACGCGGTAGTTTATTAATATGGATGGATGGATAATATAATAATAATATCGTAGGACAATTCACACAGCGCCATCTAGTACCAATTTAAGAAAAGCTTGTTTTAACACTACACAACTGATATAAATAATTATATACATTTTATTTTGTAGATACATACGTAATATATATAGAAAACACCCAGACCGATATATTTATATAATCATACTCATGAATACATATACCATGCGAGGAATTGAATCCGCGACCGTAGAAAATAAAGCGGTGTGCTAAACCTCTACACCACGGAGACCGTCAACTAAATCTCTAAATAAATAAGAATAGGATATGCACATTTTTGTATTTGTTTTAAGGGTGAAATAAGCAGTAATAAAAAAAATACCGATTATATTGTTTTCAGTGTTACCTCCTCATTGCGGTACATCACGTGACCTCAGCCAACGAGAAGGAGCCTCGTAAAGTGGGATTGCTGATACCTGAGAAATTAATAGGAGGCGTTATTGATATTGTGCAAAGTCACAAGCAAAAACCATCAACTACTGGACTGCCCAACCAGCAAACGTACCCGAATCAGCAGATCTATGCCCCACAGCAGGGCTACCAACCTCAATACGCTAATCAGTGGAGCCAACAAAGCAATTATCAGAACCAGTTCCAAAATCAATATGGAAACTATCAACCCGGGAATGGCAATTACCAACCCGGTAATGGCAATTATCAACCTGGGAATGGCATTTACCAATCTGGGAATGGCAATTACCAACCTGGGAATGGCAATTATCAACCTGGAAATGGCAATTACCAATCTGGGAATGGCAATTATCAACCATCGCCTGGCAATTACGTTCCAAACAATTACCCCGTTCCAATACAGGGTAATTATGGTAGTTCAGTCAGTCAGTCACAAAGTCAATCTCAAAACCAGTACTTGACATATCCACAGAATAATGGCAATTATGTACAGAATCAAAATCAAAATCAAGGTTATTATATACCGAGTTCCGGGCATAATCAGAATCAGCAAGTCGCTGGGCAAAATCAGCAAGTCGTCTGGCAAAATCAGCAAGTCGTCGGGCAAAATCAGCAAGTCGCCGGGCAAAACCAGCAGTCGCCGGACAAAATCAGAATCAGTCAAGTACCCAATTCCAAGGTCAAACACAAGTGATCAACCAGGAAACTCCAGGTTCCGGCGGTATTCAAAGTGGAGGTCTTCAGGTGTCTGGTGGGCATCAGTCTGGTGGACCAGGCCCTACTTGTATATGCCAGGCGTGGACCAAACCTCATGCTAGTCCTATCAACGAGCAGGGACTGATAAAACCTGAAGATAAAAAGGATTGAAATTACTATAGTTTAATAGAAGAATTAATATTTATTTACTAAAATATAAGTACTAAATGTCTATATTGATATTATGGAAGTTGCTATTAAAGATTTCGTCAACGGGAAATATAACTTTAATTTTTGTTAAAAGAAATAACATTTTTGAAATAAAAGTAGCCTAAGTTACTCCTTACAACATTAGCCATCTGCGAGTGAAAGTCCTATCAAATCATTAATTCTCATAAAATCTATCCAGCCGTTTTATAGATTTGCAAGAACAGACCGATAATGTAAGGTAGGTAACGCATACACTTTCATACGCATCTAGTGAAAATATGTTAATTTTAAATTACGAACAAACACTTCAATTTCATTTTTTTGTATTAATTAAAACTGTTTATACAATCGAGTATGTATAACTTAATTATTAAAAGGTTATTGTTTTAATTTTAAGTAAGATTTTTTATTTATTTTATTTAAATCTTATATAAATTTTAATTTAATGAAATAAACCATCCAACCATAAAAACGCCATAGTAGTATAGTTTTTTAATTATTATATAACAGAATAATAAATATTTATAAACTGATCGTGTCTTTATAGATATCAAATATTTCATAACTATCACAATAAAGAAAACATAAGGTAAAGAAATTAAGAAAGTACAAAAGGTACATTAATCTCAAATTGCAGAAAAAAAACACTTGTCTGTATGTAAAGTGCTTCGGTACTATATATGAAAAGATAACTTATAAAAACTACATGACATGTGCGATTTCTTATATACTACCGTGTGTAATAATCCACGCCTGTTATTTTGTTTCCAAGACATTTGTTGCTCGTTCTTATGACCAGGCGTTTTTATTGATAAAAACTAAAATTACCGACGACTTTATACAGAGTCGCTTACATGATCAGTGACTTGTGCAACACGGCTGTGTGTATCAGCTGACGAGTGGCATATGGCAGAGTAAAAGCGGGTGTAAAAGCTGGATACTTTACTCCTCCGTGTAATGTATATGGACAAGGTTAAAGGAAGTGATGTACTGGGGCAATACATACTGGAGTCGCCCTAGCACCTGTTGGCGCTTGGGGTATGATATTTGCTGGCACGAAATGAGCAGGCGTTAAAATTGTGCTTACGTGTGGGAACACATGAGACCTTTCTACATAGAGTTGACGAGTGTAATTGAAAAGAAAACAGTGATTTCGGTAGTTTTCCTGAACCATATGTATATATTTAATTAATGATAATGGAATGGTGCCCCCTAACGTTAGCAGGGCACTAGTTAGCCCATCGTTGTAAATTTACCAGGAATTTATCATGATCGCTACCAGTGGGAACCGCGTGGAGGTCAACTTGACATGGTACAATGCTAGCAGTAGGGGGGGATTGATAGTAATCTGGATTAATAACCTATTTGCTAGCAATGTACCATGGCAGGATGACCTCCACGCGGTTCCCCCTGGAAACCATCGAGTTAAATTGCTCTTGAATTTGTCACGATGGCCTAACTGACCTGACCTCATTCTTTTATCGTCCTCCACTGGTGCCCCGCCAGCGTAAACCGATAGCGCAGGCGGGTGCACCATTCCATATCATATTATCAGTTTAAAAAAATGGTACTAATGTGGTTATTAGTTAACATTACTAAACAATCCCATTCTCCTTCCTAAACCATACTAACCAGTACTATTACCAAATACTTCGAAATGGCTTCACATGACGATATCACGTTCGTGATACTGTTCAGTAAAACGACTGTTACCATTTACCATTGCTCGGACCGTCAGTAATAGAAATAGAAATATTTTTTATTCAAGTAAGCTCAACACAAGTACTTTTGAATGGTCATACTTTTTTATTCTACCCGTCATTGGAAATGCAGACTCATCACAAGAACCAGCAAGAAACTTGTGTGTTGCTCTTTTGATTACATGTTATTTTAAACAAATAAATACACAGTAACAACTAACTCATTCTTTATGCAATCAGATAATATTATCAGTATTTTATTAATCCGATTACACGATACGAACTCATTTTATTTTATTTATTTATTATGACATATTAACAGCTGTACTTTTTTTCATAACGCAGGAGACAAACGAGTATGCGGCTCACCTGATTGTTAGTGATTACCGCCGCCCATGAGCACCCGCAACACCAGGGGAATTGCAAGTACGTCGTCGGCCTTTTAAAAAGGAATACGCTCATTTCTTGAAGGTTTCAATATCGTATCGTTTCGAAAATACCTGGAAGGTGATTCCATAATGTGCTTGTGCAAGGTAAAAAGTTCCTAGAAAACCGCACTGTGGAAGACCGCCATTCATCCAGATGATCAGGATGGTATTTATTACAATATTCTTTAAACACTAATTTTATATGACAATTACAACAATTACATATGGGATGTTACCTTTTACAATATACACTAATGGTAAAATATATATATACTAGCTTTTACCCACGGCTTCGCTCACATAATTTCCTTACTGGCTGCTAGATGGCGCTGAAGTAGCAAAATGTTGATTTTTTTGTTTTTTATAAACAATATATTTGGTTTATTTTAAGTAAAAAGTATCTTATGTTCATTCTAATACCTCTAAGAACATGTGTTTCGATGATGATCGGTTCAGTAGTTTTTGCGTGAAAGCGTAAATTATTTTTGTATTTTTGTAATTTTTACTGAACAAAATATCCCAAATATGAGAGAAGTACTTTCTATGAGGAAATACGCGAACATAAGTGGAAAGGATGAGGGTATGACGTGACAGTTTTTCTAATGTATTACATCGATTTCTCTTATATTTCAAGGTCGAACTGGGCGACTTTCTATTAATTTAAAGATTTCAAGGTCATTCCACTAAACACACCTTCAGTAGATGTAATTCTTTTAAAAATTTCTGTGAAAAATTATGAATTTTTTTTATTAAAACATATTTAATGTATAATAATATCTCAGGAAAATTTACCCGACACCATCTAGTACCAAGCTGAGCAGAGCTTGTGTTATGGGTACTACAGACAACTGAGATAAATACATAGATTTTTTTTGTAAATACATACATATTATACATAGAAAACACCCAGACCGATACAAACAATCATACTCATGAATACAAATATTTGTTCCGTGCGAGGAATCGAACCCGCGACTATCGGATAATAAAGCGGTATGCTACATCACCAGACCAGCTATAAAGTCTATAAAGAATTATAGATGAATGTAAATAAAAAAATTAAGTCTATGACAGATACTTAATATATTAAAATTAAAATATATTTATTAATCTATTACAGGTATTATTATGATAATTAAATTCTAAATTAGTTTTATTATATCAATGAGAAAATAATTATAGATACATATTTAAATTAAAAATTAAAAATTATCGTGAGTGTAAAAATGTACTGATGGATTGGATAAAAACATTAAATTATAATAAAACTGAATTATTTCTGCATCATTATCATCACTGATAAAACTGTTGTATAATCACACACACACGCACATATGTACATATATATTCCTATAATGTGTGTATTTTAAAATTGAATTATATAAGTAATTATTGTATAATAAACTAGAAACATTTCACAAATGTTTGATATAAGCTATAGAAGAGTGGAGCCTCCTGGTTACAGGCAACTTTATGTTAAAAAAGGAGACTTCAACAACTGTAGAATGTAATTGTAAAATAGTAAATAATAAAGAATATTGATTTTTTTTTAAATTAAATTAGCAGAATATAGTGACCATCATATGCTATTGTATTTTTGTAGAAAAGATATAATTTTAATAGCAGTTCCCACAAATAGACACTTGTATATATTTATTGAAATCACCTGCGCAAACATAAAATCAATTTTTGTTTCATACTATTAACCGACCAACTTTGACTGGCCTACTATGTTGTAATGAAGATATATATTGAAAATATATAGATACATATATCAATACATCACAATATATAGATTATCTCTTATACTAAAAACCAATTTAATAAAAACCCTCATAACTCTCTACAATTGCAATAAGAGTTACAGAAAAGTATAACATTGCAATATAAGAGAGGTCTACTACACTGGTTTGTGTAATGTAGGTCTGACACATGCGCGCGCCGCCCGCCTTACGTAATCGTTACGTAAGGGGCGACTGGGGTTGCAGGGGTAGTGCACAGGCGACGGAGGGGGCGCGGCGACGCGGGGAGGGGCACGACGGGGCGAAGGCGCCGGCAATCGATTCCCATCCGCAGTCCGGCTTGGCGTTTCATCATGGCTGACAAGACGAAAGTTGCTGAACAGTACTACGCTCCGCCACCGGACCTAGGGAAATGGGAGGCCTTCAGAATATTCCTGTACAACTCCGAGACCGGCCAGGTCCTTGGCCGCACGGGATCCAGTTGGGGTGAGTTTTTTTCATACATTCCCAATTCAACGTCGCTCGCATGACAAAGGATCGTTGCCAATTTTGGAGGGAAATCGATGACGTCACTTGACATGTAATTTATTTTTAATCTATGAAAAGTAGTTCGCGTTAATTAAAAAATAAAATGACGCGCAGGACAAAGACATTATACGGTTATGGGTATAAGTGGAACGATTATTACGTAACATCGTATTTTAAAAATGCATACTCTGTGATTGAAAATGGCGGTTTTTATATTCGATACCTAGAATCTACATACACATTAACAGTATGAAAATTGTAATATACAAATCAATAATTATTTAATACATTAATCATATAAATTAATGGCATATAAAAGCAAAAGGTATCCATTTATGTTACCTTAGAACAGAAAAAATAAAAAATCAATTGAAGAAACCGACTATCAAATTAAACTAAATACATTTTTAAATGCAGTGGTTTTTGACTGGTTCATTTATATTGAAAATTTAATAGACTGGTTTCATATGTACATACATATATGTATATGTAACTATGAGTTGTGGATTGCACATGCGCTGTACGAAATGACACTAAGTACTAAGATCACTACTTAAGTCGCCAAATTAGCATCATTTTGCTATACATTACGTACATACATTTTGAATGCCTCGGTGGTCTAGCGGTTAACCACACCGCTTTACTTCCGATGGTTGCGGGTTCGATTCCTCGCACGGTGCTAACATTTATATTCCTGAGTAAGTGATTGTTTTATCGGTCTGGGTGTTTCCTATATATATATATATTTTAAAAAATCTAAATATTAAAATTCAAATTATCTTTATTCATGTAGGTCTATTACAGACTCTTATGATATGTCAAATCTACCGTCAGTTCGGAATGATTTCGAGATGAGAAGAACTGACAAGATTAATATCAGTTGTCTAGTACCTACAACACAAGCTCTGCTACCCGTGGGACTAGATGGCGCTGTGTTAATTGTCCAGGGTTATATTATATACCTAATTACAAAAAAAGTATCTAAGTATTTATATCATTGTCTAGTACCCACAACAGAAGCTCTGCTACCCGTGGGACTAGATGGCGTTGTGTTAATTGTCCAGGGTTATTTCTTTATTTATATCAGTTGTCTAGTACCCATAACACAAGCTCTGCTTACCGTGGGACTAGATGGCGCTGTGTTAATCGTCCAGGAATATTAGAAACAAAATGACATATGTCTTAAAATAACTAATTACAATGTTTGTATAGTTTTTTCATACAAATTACAGTAGTAATGACTCTGTTATGTCACTGTACTGTTATATATTATGTATGTGGTTATTGTAACACTGTCCTCTGGGTGTACTCATTCATTGGTCACATTATTCACAATCATTTACGTTAATAACATCTGCTTGTATTTGAATCACATTTATTTAAAGCTAGCTGCCCCACGCGACTTCGTCTGCATCACACATTATTATATATCGCCCAAATTATATAATATATTTTTAAATTACATATATGATATTTTACCCCTTAAGGGTAAAATTGTTACAAACTTTGAATGTCATATTTATTCATATTTAATCAACAGCCTCAAAATGATTCAAGCTTTTAGCTTCAAAAATGACGATTCTTCCATACAATCTTTCATCCCCACTTTCAACCCCTTACAACCCTTTTTTCGCATTCAAAAGTAGCTTATGTCCTTTCTCAGGGTCCAGACTATCTGTGTACCAAATTTCATTTAAATCGGTTCAGTAATTTTGACGTGAAAGCGAGACAGACAGACAGACAGAGTTACTTTCGCATTTATAATATTAGTAAGGAAGTAAGGATAGAAACGCGCATGTTCGCTCTTTCTTAGATTAAAAAAAATCGGTAGATTAAAAAAATGTGACTATTCAAAAGTGCTTCAATGTAAGTTTATTTGAATAAATGATTTTCTATTCTATTCTTATTGCGATGAGTCTGCTTTCTGAATGGGCGGTAGAATGAAATAAATGATATGGCTATTTAAATCTATAAATATAAATAAAATTGTTGTAACGAAATAACCGTTTTTTACTATATGCATATGATTATAAATACGGAACATACACCAAAATAACATTTTTTACAATTTTTGTCTGTCTGTCTGTTTGTTCCGGCTAATCTCTGAAATGGCTGGACCGATTTTGACGGGACTTTTATTGGCAGGTAGCTGATGTAATAAGGAGTAACTTAGGCTACTTTTATTTTAGAAAAATAAAGTTAAATTCCACGCGGACGAAGTCCCGGGTACAGCTAGTATGTTATATTAAGTTAATTTGAATAAAGATTATTTCTATTTCTCTATTTTTATGATATCGACATTTGTAAAACGCCATCTATTGATTATAATGACAGGACATCAAAATAGAGTCTGTTATTTTAATAATAAATAAATTTCATTAAAATATTCATAGTTAATAAAAATGTTCAAAAATTAGTGCTGGTTGGTAGTTTGTATTCACACGTTTCGACTTGTAAATGTAAACTTACAAGGATTATTTAAAAGAGCAACACACAAGTTTCTCGCTCGTTCTTCTTGTGATGAGACAGCTTTCGGAACAAGTGGTCGATAAAAAACAAATTGTTATGGCTATTCAATAGTGCTTAAATTAAGTTTATTTGAATAAATGATTTTCTATTCTATTCATAAAATTAATTATAATAGGTCATTTAGGCATCTTTATTTATACATGGTGATTCATATTTGATAATATATTTCAATATCCGTTTTAGTAGTTTCAACACAGTTTCGCCTCGACACTAGTAAAAAAGTAGAGTTACAAGAGTTAAGTCATAACTGTATAAAACACAAGACGATTCACACAGCGCCATCTAGTCTCACGCTAAGCAGAGCTTGTGTTATGTGTACTAGGCAACTAACAGATATACTTAGTTACATTTTTTTGTTGTAAATAAATAATATATATAGGAAACGCTAAGACCAATACAAACAATCATATCAGGAATCGAACCTGCCATCCGAAGTAAGGCAGTGCGTGAAGTATACCGCTAGACCCTCGAGCCCGTCAGATATAGAAGATAAAAGGGAGTTTCATGAAGTCTCCCTGTTACTTGTTTAGTATACTTTATGACTATAGAGGTAGAGTTTAAAGTCGTCTGCGTGGGTTTACTTTCACACCTCATTCCGCCGTAAAACAGCTTGCTCTGTAAGCTGTTTCAGTTAGATGCAGGCATAATACCTTAGTACTCTGGAATGGCAACTCATGAGTGTACGGGTCAATTGATGACGTCATGTTTATGCTACTGTTTTTATACCACGTAGGTGGTGAACAAGCATACGGCCCATCTGATAGTAAATGGTTACCATAGCCTAAGGACGTCTGAAACACCAGGGTTGTCGCGTGCGCGTTGCCGACTCAAAAGTCTACTGTTTATCTATATAGACGACTGTTACCATTTACAGATAGATTGTCAGTTTTCTTACCTTCCTAGATACAAGGCAGGGTATGACTTTCATACCTGTCTTTTTTATATAGGAAAGTATGAAAACGGACTTACATACCTGTTTTATTTATCTAGGAAGGTATATAGAGTAGAGTCATTTTTCTTCGAACAATAGAGTTTTTTTTTTCGAACTATTCTAATGCTGGCCGTAGCTGGCCTTTACAGGTTCACTAGATGATAGGGGCGAGTGCAGATGGCACTCCAAACCAAAGGAAGGACTTATGAAATGAAGCTGAAGGCTGAAGTCTAACTCCAGTCTGAGGGTTACAACTTTAGTATAACACCGCCACGGGTTCGAATCTCTGCTCAGGCCGTCGTAACGTCAATCCCCATTTGATTTGGATGGGGTCGATTGGAGGGGCGATATACAGTCCATTTTAAAACGTTATCTATAGTATAAAAGATTCCAGAATTGATTAGTGGAGTGTAATAAGGAAATGCATATTGAAATTCAAATCAAAATATCTTTATTCATGTAGGTCTATTACAGACTCTTATGACATGTCAAATCTACCGTCAGTTCGGAATGATATCGAGATGAGAAGAACTGACAAGAAACTCAGCTCGTATTCTTTTTAAATAAATGTGGTACATCTTTACAATTATACAGATTATTTGGGAGAATAGAGTGACTACCATATGCTATTGCAAAAGCAAAAAGTGTAATCAGTGTTCGTAACCTGAACAGATATATCACGAAAGAATATGCATTATGTATGAAATAGGGAGCCACTTAGCTTGAACACGATATTGGGGTAGGATATTACGTAAACCCAAAATTAATTTTACAAAGAGGTTTTTGCAGTCGCTGAAATATTTTGAATATTGTCAGCGTGGAAGTAATTTATAGAAGATAGAATTATTTTTATTTTATATCCTCGGCGTAAGATGTTTCAGTTAGATTATCATATCGCTTTACTTCCGATGGCCGTGGGTTTGAATCCTTGCGAGATGAAAACACTTGATTCATGGGTTTGATTGTTTGTATTAAATATATGAGTCTTTTCTATATATAATAATAATAATAATCTCAGGACAATTCACACAGCGCCATCTAGTCCCAAGTTAAGCTATCTAAAGCTTGTGTTACGGGTACTAGATATCTGATGCATATATAAGTTATCTATATATAGTACAAACAATCATACTCATGTAGTACTAGATAACTCGGTCGTAAAGCGGTGTGCTACAAGTGCATATATATAATGTTTTTTAAAAAAAAATGTTTTTAAGTATTTCTATCAAAATACAAGCTCTGTATACAATGGTCCTGATGTAAAATATATTAAAAAAAAACCCAGACCATATACGAACAATCATTTTGTGAGTGTGTACTCATGAAATAAAACAAATGTTTGTGCCGTTACATAGCAACCGAGGATATATGAAATTACGCAACGGATTTTAATGCAGGATATCGAATTCATCGAATATAGATTATAGAAGCTAACAAAGATTAGTAATATCAGCACTGCAGACTTATCTGTAGCTTCATGCTATAGTTTGTTGCCTGTTGTTGTTGTTTTGTTGCCTCTTCCTCATTGCGATCCATAAAGCCACCTCCATTTTTTTATTTGTAAACTTTATTTCTATTTATAAAATATATCTCATGCTATAAATAAACGATATATCTATTTATCTATCTATCTATGTATAATTGTTGAATAAAGCCGTTATCTATCTATCTAAATGTTAATTATGACAAAGTCTTGTGGTCAAGTGGTCGCCGCCTTTGCTCAGCGGTGCCGGTGGGGCAGAGCACGCGGTGAGATGCGCGCGCCGCGCGGCGTCCTTCGTGACATCGATCCAAGGACGACTGGATTGTGATTTCTGTACCAGAGATATCACAAAATATAGTTTACTATCTGTGACTATGGTTTCAATTAAATGCAATTATAGAAAACTTAATCTATACATATAAATAAAATTGGAGTGCTGTTTGTAATATTGAAACAACCGTGTTTTACTATATGCATATGAATATAAATACGGTGCATACAGCAAAATATTTTTTTTTTCAATTTTCTTCTGTCTATCTGTTTGTTCCGGCTAATCTCTTAAATTGCTGAACCGATTTTGACGGGACTTTTAATGGCAGATAGCTGTTGTAATAATAAGTAACTTAGGCAACATTTACTTTAGAAAAAATCCTTAATTTTAGAAAAATAAATGTAAATTCCACGCGGACGAAGTCGCGGACATAGCTAGTTCATAATATACCCTAGTTATTGTAGTAATTCACAGTGAGACAGAAAATGATAGTAATAGGACAGTAATTAGTGGACAAGCGCGAACTGTCGCTTGTTATCGACCGATTGTCACATATTACTCGTATTTAGGCCAATGCAGCTGACTACGCTCATTGTTGTTTCATTCAATCAGAGAAGAAATACATTCTACATCATCTCTACATATTATAAAACAAAGTCGCTGTCGCTATCTGTCCGTTCCTATGTATGCTTACTTCTTTAAAACTACGCAACGGATTTTGAAGCGGTTTTTTTAATAGATAGAGTGATTCAAGAGGAAGGTTTATATATAGAATACATATACACCTGTGCAAAGACGGGGCGAGTAGCTAGTGTTTTGTATAATATAAAAAAATTTATATGTAGCGATCCACTCTGGTTGCAATATTATAAAAATTTATATTTTTTTAAATAATACACACATTTCAATCTCAGAAGAGATATATTTTATATATTATAGCCATCTAGTTTTGGTATAATATTAAAAAAATATATTTTTAAGTCTCGATGGTTTACCGGTTTAGCACACCTATCTTTGATGGTCGAGGGTTCGATTCCTCACAGGGTACAAACATTGTGTTCATGAGTAAGATTGCTTGTATCGGCCTGGGTGTTTTCTTTGTTTATTAACATATAAAAATACATTTATAAAAAATGTATTTACATAAGTATATCTAACAGTATTGAGAATATCCTTCAATTCTTGTCCCTGACAGGTTTGGGTAGCAAACTCTGTAAAAGGGAGGGCACAATAGATCTATGTAGGTCGCAGTTTTTTGTTTAGTATCTACAGGTCCAAGCATATGACAATTGCCTAATTTTTTTTGTATATCGAACAGTTGTCAGCTTGTGTTATAACTACTAAGCTATAACACAAGCTCCGCTTAGCTTGGGACTAGATGGCGCTATGTGACAATTGTCCTGAGATATTATTATAAAAGTCACAATAAATAAATGTTTAAATTGATTTCATTGACTGAATTTCAGCAAATCAGTAAACAATATGAATTAGATGATACTATATCTTTTCAATTGGTCTGAATACGGTGTAGGTTGCTGAAACGCGGTCAGTGGTCGGCCGGCAATTTGGTAGGAAACTCCTATTGACGCCACTTGTACCAATTATTGTCTCAATACTATTTGTATTGAATGCGAATTAATAGGAAGTTAAAGGTTTCATAAGTTGGCCACAGTCAGTGCCTCAATTTATTGGACTTCGAAACTTCTAGATCACATCTAGATTCTTTATCAAGATTTTTTTATTGATAATGGAATGATGCGCTAACGGTTTACGCTGGCGAGGCACCAGTGGAGGATAAGATGAGCATGAGGTCAGATCAGTTAGCCCATTGTGGTAAATTCACCAGGAATTTATCACGATGGTTTCTAGGGGGAACCGCATGGAGGTCAATTGACATGGTACTTTTTTTTTATTTGATGGATGATAATGGAATAGTGCACCCGCCTGTTGTAACGGTATACGCTGGCCAGGCACCAGTGGAGGATAAGATCAGCATGAGGTCAGGTCAATTAGTTCATCGTGACAAGTTTACCAAGAATTTATTACGATGAGCGTTTTTACAATTCATCAAAAATATGCTTAGATTAGAGCAGACCAGTACCTAAAAGATAACTATGAATGAAAGAGTAAAACGGATAATACAACCAGAACTGGTTCAACCATATTTTGTGAGAGCCCAATAACTCAAATAAGCATATGTCCCGTGTATTTATGAATTGTACTTACCTGTGTAAGATATCTAGTCACACAATATGTACTGCATTATATTCGATGGGAATCTACCACAATAGAATAGAATTCAAATAAAACATCATTTATTTGAATAAACTTACATTGAAGCACTTTTGAATAGTCATTACATTTTTTTAATCTACCGCTCGTTCGGAAAGCTGTCTCATCACAAGAAGAACGAGAAAGAAACTTGCGTGTTGCTCTTTTAAATAATTTTACATTTTTAAGTTTAAGTGTGTGAATACAGTGTAATAATATCATGATTATGTTTGTTCACAGCTAAAATCTTGCTATTCTACCTAATCTTCTATGCGGCTCTGGTGGGCTTCTTCGCGGCCATGCTGGCCATCTTCTACCAGACCCTGGATTCGAAGATGCCCAAGTGGCAACTCGATGGCTCCATCATAGGAAGTAATCCAGGTAAGAAATTGGATATTGGAAGAAAGAAAGTGTATGAAAGTCACGATGAGGAAAGGAAAATTAATTCTAGATAAGATACTTTGTTATTTAATATTAGGTCCAAAGACTAGACGGAACTTATTACTGGTGTTGATATCACTGATCAGTTAATAATATACTTTGATATAGTGTTTTCGTTGAACTTATGAAAACTGGGGTCTAAATCAGAGTAGTAACCTAGTAACTAGGCCCTGATGCTGCTCGACATGATGCCTACGACTACCTTTTACAATTGCACAGCTTGCCATCGACAGAAAATTTAAATCCACATGCTGGAACCAAAGTGGTTTCGGACAGTGCGGTTTCAGAGAAGCTTCCTCTTGCGTACTCTTAGATTTTGAATGGTCTTCCTGCCGAGGATTTCTCTACAGAGTACAGCATGAGGTTTTTCAAGAAGTGTATATTAAGGTTTTTTTAAGGGTTGGCGCTCTTGACATCTCTGTTATTTTAGGCGGGTCAGCAACACGCAAGATGTCAACCCTCTGGTGTTTCAGATTCATAGACTACCTTAATGGCATATATACCACGAGTGACAATTGATTGCCACAAAAGTAGGACCAATAATTTATAGTTAACTATTTCTGTGTTTTGACTTTCCAATCCAGGTTTGGGCTTTAGACCCATGCCGGACTCTGCTAACGTGGAGAGTACCCTCATCTACTACAAGGCCAATGATAAGGGCTCCGTGCTCAAATGGGCCAAGGTGATCGACGAGTTCCTTGAACGTGAGTATTGTATGCCAAGGTGACTAGTAAGGTAACTTAAGTCTGAGGTTTTACGCATAATTACTTATTGTAGTTAATTGCCACTCAGACAGAACTGTAATGACAGATTGTTATGTTAATTGTCTAATATATTACAGGTATGTTTATTACATATACTGAAGAGTTATATATATTGATATTTAAAGTAATACCCATGAAAAAATAAGTGTTACAAGATCAAAACATTTACAAGAATTGAGAATAAAAATAGGATAAAACCCCATATATTTAGGAATACAGGATAAATACTAGGAGTACGAAGATTTATTTGAAGAATTGTTGAGAACTGAAGTAAAACATGAAATTATACAGGAACAGCAATATAAACTGAATTACAATTTTTAGAATAGAAATAATCTTTATTCAAATATACTTAATATAAGCACTTTTGAATAGTCAATTTTTTTTTATTCTACCACTCATTCGGAATTAAACATCACAAGAAAAATGAGCATTAAAGGAGTAACACGCTAGTTGCGTAATGATTTTTTAAATATATTTTGTTATAAGTGAATACATGTAGAACAATAAACAAGGATTAGGCATGCGACAATCAACATAAAAACCGCTACGCACTCAATCTTTATACAATCAGATATGATAAATATGAAGACATATTTGATTAGCCCGTTACAATAAATGTAATATTAAAATATCTTCATAGAGTATCGCAAGAAGGGAAGTGGCAGCGGAGAAGCTAGCGGCGCTGAGAACCGAGTACCATGCTCTCCAACATCGGGCGCCACTGGTGAGAAGCAAGTGTGCGATGTGCCAATAGACGAGTTCCATCCCTGCACTGCTGCTAATCAGTACAACTACGAGGCAGCCGGCCCCTGTGTCTTCTTGAAGCTGAATAAGGTTAGAATCAAAACTGACGGTAGACTTGACATGTGAGAAGAGTCTGTAATAAATTTATTCGTACGTTAATAAAGAAAAAACAAGCTTTGACGACCTTGGTGGTTATTTTTGTAAATGTTATTGATATTATAAACGTGAAAGTTTGTGAGTATGGATGGATGTTTGTTACTCTATCACGCAAAAGCTTATACATCAGAATAACATAAATATAATATTCACGCGGGTATAATACAAATTCAAATTCAAATTCAAAAATCATTTATACATGTAGGACATTTTAGCCGTCACACACATAGTATATAAAAAACACACACTTATAATACATTGAAAACAACCAGACCGATACAATCATACTCAATGTTTGCACTATGCGAGGAATCGAATCTGGTACCTACAGAAGTAAGGGATTGTGCTAAACCGATCATCGAAACAGTCTATATTGAACTAAACCTACTATAAGGACTTTCAAATAGTCATAGGACAGTCAAAAAACGTAAGTAAGTTAAGACTACAATGGGTTGATAATGAAAAGTTGGTTTTACTACACTCAAAGTAACGTAATCTATACATATAAATAAAATTAGAGTATCTGTTTGTAATATTGAAATAACCGTTTTTTACTACATGCATATGAATATAAATACGGTGCATACACCAAAATAACATTTTTTACTATTTTTTCTGTCTGTCTGTTTGTATGACTCTTTGAAATGGCTGGACTAAATTTGACGGAACTTTTTTGGCAGGTAGCTGATGTAATAAGGAGTAACTTAGGCTACTTTTATTTTAGAAAAATAAAGTTAAATTCCACGCGGTCGTAGTCGCGGGCACAGCTAGTTTTGAAATAAAATGTATTGCCCAACATCCTTTTCATAGTGGTAATCGAATAGACAAACATTCCTGTTATGAAAGGAGACACCTGGCCAGCAATAGGACGTAAGGGATAATGAAATATAAAATAAGAGAAGTGGACATACGTACGTTTTATTCAGTACTCGTTCTAACTTTATTCATTTGGGTGAGGGGTGAGAGGACCTTGGTTCACCCCTCGTCCAAGCACAATTATATTAACACACTAAACGATTGAAATGTTGCCGTAAATATTTATATTCCGTTCTACTCAAATATTTATGCTATGCTTTACTTGGCGTACTCTATCATTACAGTAAATATAAAACATTACTTTTCGTTATTTTGAAAATAAAGATAATTATTAATCAAATGTCTTGTAGATTTTTACAAATTTTTATACTGTCTTGGACTGTTCATGTGAAAGTTTAGTTCTTTCTATAGATAGATAGATAGATTTTTTAGTGAAAATTGAGTTTTTCACTTATTTTATAAACCACACACATTGTGTGTGTAACTAATAAAAAACAATTTTTTTAGTGGAAATTTGACGAGTGAATATTTTATATTAGTTGGGTAATCCTGTGTGTTAAGTTAGAAAAAGTCATAGTGTTATCGTTTAATTATTGTAGTAAAGTTTCACGGCTTTATATGGAGAGGGTTAGGCAAGGCGACATGCAGTATTAATAACATTCTCTTTATGTTTCAGATCTTCAATTGGCAGCCTAAACCATACAATACCACTGAAGATCTCCCCGGTAACATGCCTGAAGATTTGAAATCGCACATCAAGATGGCGGTATGCGTTTAGTTTTCACCCAGTACCATTTACAACAGAATAAAAAAATGCAATAAATAGTCCCTAGTTTTAATATTTTTTTTGTACTTGGCAGCACAAGATAGGAGGAGGGGGAAGGATCTGTGAGGAATGTGGACGACCCTATTGGTAGCAATGCATCATGTCAGGTTTATCATTATCACGTCCACGAGGTTCTCCCTGTAAACCATCGTGATAAATTCTTGGGGATTTCGTCACAATGGTCTAAGTGACCTGACTTCTTGTTCATCTCATTAGTTCTCCACCGGTGCCTCACCAGCGTAAACCATTGCCGCAGGCTGGTGACCCATTCCATTAAAAAAGTACATCTCAGCTGAGGTGATGCTGTGATGTTGATGTACATAGGTGTTGGTTGCGATTTTACATTACCTGTTTTATTATTCTAGTTATAAAAAAAAATAGGGAAAATAAAGTTAATATTTTCTTTCGAAACTAAGCAAATACTTTTTCGTGCAGTCGGGCAAGCCAGAAGCAAATACGGTTTGGGTATCATGCGAGGGTGAGAATCCAGCAGACGTTGAGAACATCGGCCCAGTGCAGTACATCCCGCGACGGGGCTTCCCCTCTTACTATTACCCCTTCACCAACAAGGAGGGGTATCTGAGTCCTCTGGTTGCTGTGCTCTTCGAGAAGCCCAGGAGTACGTATATTCATATCTATTTTAAAATCTCGAAATCAAATAAAATCATCGAAGTAGACTTGTCAAAGAATCAGAGCCTCTTAAGATCTAATCAAACTTATTTGATATACAATTTTAAAATATATAAAATACTATTTAGATCTAACTAAACAAAATACTCCTTAGTATTGGATAATTACATTAGAGGAAGTATGAAAATAGCGCCAATGTCGGAGAAGTTGAAGGGTAATCATTTGTCTTGATTAAGGCACGTAATTCGGAGAAATGGGGAGAATATTTTAAAGAAAGTCTTGTGGGTGGTTATAAGGGCAGAGGAAGGCCGAAAAAGAGATAACCATCTATCTTTTTTTCGGCCTTCCTCTCTATCTAATCTTTGTTGAACAACATCGTAACTACATGTTGTATCACTTGTCTAACACCCATAACACAAGCTCTGCTTGACTTGAGACTCGATGTCGCTGTGTATATACAGGAGCTGGTATTAAGATATTATACTTACTACTTAATAAAGATGAGGTATTAATGTCATGTACCTATTACAATTACAGCGGGTGTGCTCATCAACATCGAGTGCAAGGCGTGGGCGAAGAATATATTCTACGACCGCTATGAGCGGCGTGGCTCGGTGCACTTCGAGCTGATGGTAGACCGCTCCTAAATTCCCCATAGTCAGACCATTTTAGCCAACTGCCTGCCGTGCCCGACATCCTGCGAAGCTCACACGTAATTGAACATGGAATCTTTGGCCAGAAACGATGTAGGTCTTTGTGTGAATGGTCCAATATAGCTGGATTAGGTCTAATTTAAAAATACTGTATCTATTTAGAGGAAGAGTTAGCGCAGCTGTTAAAATATTTGTTAGATCTTAAGAATGTTGATCTCGTTAATTGCTTAGTGCCAAACATTCGGTGTTTTATTACATCCGGTCAGCCAGTTGGCGAAGGAGTGGTTGGTGAAGCCAAGGCGACTTGGCCACTGCCAAGGTTGTCGCAACCGAAGGCGAAATGCCGCGGATGCCAGGCGTTTAGCAATAGCCACATAGTCGGCGGTTAATTTATATTCGTTTTAGAATAAGCCAGATGGCGCCACTAAGTTAAGTTTCGTTTCACGCTTCAAGTAAAGTTTTAAATTATTGATAATATTTATTATGTAATGTTTTCTGGACGAGATGTCAATAAACACGCAATAGTTGGTTCCAAACTGTGTTGTCTCATTTCTTATTGAACCTCCCAGCTTTTTCCTTGAATGTTAACAGTGAAACTACTAATATTTTAATAACGACTATGTGTCTGTCTGTCCGTCTGTTTGTTTTGTTACAACTATATGAAAGAATGGATTATAATAAAATTTGACGTAAAAATAAAATTTATTATGAGAGCGTAAATATATTATCTTTTATCTCAAAAACTACAGATTAAGTCCATGGTTGTAGATACAAAGGCTTATCTGTTTGCTGCCTTTTAAAGCCACTGAACAAACTTTGATCAAAATTTGGTATAAAGATAGGTTAGATCTTCATTACTTGATCAGCATCATGTGCAATCATGTAACACCCCTGGTACTTCTCATGTGTTACCATTCCAAAGAAGTATAAGGTACCATGCCTCCGTATCCTTATATTTCCTGCCGTATTCCACTTTTCAACCGAAACATTTCTTACAAACCAAGTTACTACAAGCTAAACAAGACGACCAATAAACCTAAACAGGTTCTTCACCTCAAAACAATGATAGATGACAGCTACAATCCTATGAACAACTAATTATACAGAACAGGTGTCAGACAGTGTGGGCTGTTTTGTAGCCGATGACATGGCTACTCACGTTCTCCTGGAAAACTTAGCAGTGGCCACACAACGGACACTTTTCCCAAGAACGTTGAGGTCTATCCGTAAGCCTGTGAAGACACCAGAAGGCTTCTGAACTTCTGCGAGATTGACTGGCTGCTGTATTAGTCTCGGCTCTACACGCACAACGGCCCAAACGAGAGCCTAAATGAGGAAACAGAGTCTAACATAAAATAGAAAATCCTTCAATACAATAGAATAGAATAGAAAAACATTTATACAAATAAACTTAAAATATAATATAATATATTAACTCGTTTTACACAATAATGAAATTAGAAATACAAGGAACAATTTACACATTGATAAGAGTCAATGTGAACCACAACTCAGCCTAATGCTGGAAGCATAGTTGCCAGCGCTGATTTTCAGTTGAATTTAATTTAAGCAATAGTTAATTTTAAACTTTCATATTTAATATACATTATTTAAATTATTAACCGGGTCTTAACACGAATAATTTTATGGCAAATAAAGGTTTTCATCTCTCTCGACGTTTCGACTAGGTTGCACTAGCCGTGGTCACGAGCTGACTGTCAGCTGCCATAAAATTATTCGTGTTAAGACCCGGTTAATAATTTAAATAATGTTTAATTTAAGCACTTTTGAATAGTCATCACATTTTTTTTAATCTACTGCTCTACAGTAGATACATTCTAGCTGCTTGGAGATGAAATGGTGATACCGTGGTACAAGCTGCTTGACTGTGATATGGTGATACCGATGTACCGTAGACGACACGACGCATCGTCGGTACAAAGTTTGCTTCGGTAAAATATAAACTTTCATAGTAATTTATCAACCGATCAATCAAAATGAAGATTTCTAACTTGAATGAACTTTTGTGTGTATGTAACGTGATATTTTATTTTACATAGATTTTGATCGTGCTGTGTGCAGTCGATATTAACTGTTCTGGTACAAATTGCTATTATTCCTAACGCTTTGGTTATGACAACCATAAACTTTCAAGACGAAAGTGTCGAGGTCTAGTAATTAACACTAACTTACGCCGAAAAGTGGTGAGTTCAAATTGAGCCGACACCAAAAAATTTGGGTGTCCATTTATATTTCTGATTGGCTTTCCGGTGATGGAAACACTGATAATAAACTTAATATTTCTGACTAGCTTTCTAGGCATAGCAACATTAATAAGAAACTAAATGGCATTACATTTTTTACAAGAGACGGCGATAGGGTCCCTTCTTCGGTAATTTGATATTCCCATTTTTTTTTTGTTTATTTTCGTAAAACCAAGGCTATTTACAAACATAGTTATAAACATAATTAAATGATAACGGCCACTTACAGCATTTCACGGATAGAAACGTAATATAAAATAAATTACAGTACTAACACGAGAGGCGTGTTTGTGTCATAAGTACACATAAAATCATATATCAAAAAATAACAATCCACTAAATTAAAACATGTGCTGAAATTAACAAACAAACATTTTTAAATAATCCTTACTTAATATTATAAATGCGAAAATAACTCTGTCTGTCTGTCTGTCTCGCTTTCACGCCAAAACTACTGAACCGATTTAAATGAAATTTGGTACACATGTAGTTTAGAACCTGAGAAAGGACATAGGCTACTTTAGCTACTTGCTAATCCGAAAAAAGGGTTGTAAGGGGTTGAAAGGGGAGATGAAAGGTTATATGGAAGTATAGATAATTTACGCGGACGAAGTCGCGGGCACATCTAGTGAATTATAAATCAAAGAATTGCCCGCTCATCACGGCCCTCGCTAAAGATATTCTATCGGAAAACAAATCAATATCTAATACCCTACTTAATCTATTGAAGTTATTACTTGCTCGCCACATATAATTGTAAAAATAAATGTCAATTTTTTACATTATATATTTTTTGCCTACCGTCCCCAGACCGATACAAACAGTCATATCATATCATATATATACTCATGAATATAAATGTTTGTACCGTGCGAGGTATCGAACCCGCGATCATCCGTAGTAAGGTGGCGTGCTAAACCGTTAGACTATCGAGGCCTTCAAACATCTTATAAAGATGTAAAGTATATTGTTTGCGTATATAAGAAGGAAATTACGTACTAAAATTGTTTAAACATGCCTAATGATTATTAATAGAGCAAACTATATAAATTAAGCATATTTATAAATATCGATCGAGCACAGAATCACTCACCAAGTAATACGTCATTAAAATTATAACGAGTTCCCAATTAACATATTATTTTTAACCAACTTCAAAAAGAAATCGACAACGATTTCTTAAAAATTTACTCCAACGATTTTTTACAACAATGTAAAAAATCGTTGGAGTAAATTTCTTTGTAATCTTAATTATATATTATAAACGCGAAAGTTTGTAAGTATGGATGTTTGTTACACTTACACGCTAAAACTACTGAACGGAATTTGATGAAACTTTATAGTAATATAGTTTATGTATCAGAATAATATGATCTACATTTTTTATTTAAATGAAGGTGAAACCGCGTGCACAGCTAGTACGGTATATTTAAATTCTGTTCCTCGCACGGTGCAAGCATTTGGCATTCATTAGTATGATTTTTTTTTAATCTGTCTGGCTTTTTCTATGTATAATATGTATGTTTTTACAAAATAAACGTATCAATGTATTTATATCAGTTTCTAGTGCCCATAGCACAATGCTTAACTTGGGACTAGGTGGCGCTGTGTGAATTTGCTTATTACATAGTATAAAACAAAGTCGCTGTCGCTGTCTGTCCCTCCCTATGTATGCTTAAATCTTTAAAACTATGTAACGGACGTTAAAGCTGTTTTTTAATACATAGAGTGATTCTAAAGGAATGTTTATATATATAATACATGTATACCCGCGCAAAGCCGCGGCGAGTAGCTAGTCTTATATATTCTCGTGTCAGAGCTTTTGTGTTTACACTCCTTCGAAACGGCTTGATCGATATTGATGAAATTTTATATATATATTCAGTAGGTCCGAGAATACGTTTATAACTAATTTTTATAAGGTAAGTGTCGCCAAATTTTTTTGCGTCATATTTTCTACAAAATTTTTATTAAGTGTCATTAAAAATATATAAAACTCAAAATTTTCACCCTTCTATCCTTAACCCCTATTTTTTTGTTAGCGATATTAGTATTTAAATTTATATATCAAAACAACGTTTGCCGGGATAGCTAATATCTATATATATTTTATTTATTTTATTTCCACACTTACATTTATTTTTACAGGTCTTAGCAAAAAATATATTTATAAATAATATATAATTAAATTAGTTGTAAATTATAATAGATTATGTAGGACATGCCACTCCATTGGATATCAGAAATCCGCAATAGTTGTGACATTTTGCGAGCCAGCACCCTCGGCGCCGCCGTGGCGCCGTCACCCCTGCAGTCGCCCTCACCACCCCTGCAGTCCTCCCCTCACCACCGCCCTGGTGCCCCACATAGAGGTCTTTGTCTGCCATTATTGGTACCTGAAATATCTTTAACTGGGTTATATGAAGCAACATGCTATATGACGTAAGTGGAAAGATTTGTAAACAACATTTGTTCACTTTGTAATGGAATAGAATAAAATAAAATAATTTATTGCAGAATAAAGTGGTTTCGTGCTTAAGATAATAGCAATAAAAATTAACATTATTTCGGAAAACTCAACTTAAATAACATTTTATTTATGACCAAACATTAGGCTATGCCTGTATCGAGGAAGTTATAGTGTAACAATCAACAACATATATTAAATACTGGCTGGGCTCGCGGTTTCATTACGTGAAATTTATAATCTATGTGTTATTCTGATATATAAGCTATATTACTGTAAAGTTTCATCATAATCCGTTCAATAGTTTTTGCGTGAAAGAGTAAAAAACATCTATCCATCCTATTTATGACTTTGTGTGAAGTCAAAGAGCGCAAAATCATAATTAATTGAATTGGCTTGAGTTATATATAAGTGCGCTGTGATTATAAAGTCCCCTAATTTTATTGTACTTCTTTTAATTTCCTAATTGTCTTAATAAAAATGTATGATATGACGGCCTCGGTGGTCTAGCGGTCTAGCACACTGCTTTACGTCCGATGGTCGCGGGTTCTATTCCTCGCACGGCACAAATCATACTCGTTAATATCAATGATTAGCGAGTATGATTGTTTGTATCGGTCTGGGTATTTTATATGTATAATATGTATGTATTTACGAAAAAAATATCTGTGTATTTGTATCAGTTATCTAGTACCCATAATACAAGCTTTAGCTAGCTTAACTTGGGTCTAGATGGCGCCGTGTGAATTGTCCTGAGATTATTATTATTATTATAAGTGATTACTTTTTAATGGAAATGATTAAACATATTTGACGGCCTCTGTGGTCTCGGGTTCCTCGCATATTTATTTGTTTGTATCGGTCTGGGTGTTTTCTATGTATAGGTATTATGCATGTATTAACAAAAAATTATTATTACTAAAATAATAATATTTTTATCATCGTATAATTTTAAGTAATTTGTGATGACAGGAGCGGTGGTGAGAGTAAACACACACAGTAGGGTGTAACTTGTATATTAACTGTTACATCTTGAATTACTCTAGTTTAAGAACCAGAGTGACCGAAATAGCCCGAAGAATTGCGACTTTGAAGTGGCAATGGGCAGGGCACATAGCTCGTAGGACAGATGGCCGTTGGGGCAGTAAAGTCCTCGAGTGGCGACCACGGACCGGAAGACGCAGCGTGGGAAGGCCTCCAGCAAGGTGGACCGACGATCTGGTCAAGATCGCTGGAAGGCATTGGATGCGAGCAGCGCAGGACCGATCGTCGTGGAGATCTTTGGGGGAGGCCTATGTCCAGCAGTGGACGTCTTCCGGGCTGCGATGATGATGATGATGACACTAATTACTAACACTATATATATTAACAACTGTGTGACCTACGTGTCGTTAGTTAAAACGTACACTGTCACAATCTACTATCGAACGTACTGATTTACATCACTATATCACAGTATAAATAGTTTTAAAATATAAACGTGTTGGCAATTAAGCTGTAAGTTTATATTGTGTTAATTAAATAAATAAATAAATAAAAATAAATAAAATTATTTGGTTTAGTCGTTTAGTCCCCACATGCGCTGCTTAGCTTGGGATTTGATATCGTTGTAAGAATTATACTGGATTATTATTAATATAGATAACTACCTATATAACTATAAGGTTTTACTATTTACCTACCTTACTGGGTTATTATTATTATTAATACAGATAACAAAGAGTTTACTATATTTACGTACCTTTATTTTGAGTTCCATTTCTCGATAGAATATTACATAGAATAAATATTTTACTACATGTAGATACATTAATTTTAATTTAGAAGGTTTATACCAAGCAGTAAATTTACTATTAATCTATTAATAAAATGGCAAGTCTCGTTATTTTACAATGAAAATAAACCCCCTCGGATAATCACTTGTATTTACATATAAATAGCCCCTGCAAAAAAAGTATTAGCAAATCTGTCGAGATGACTATATCTGCCTATCTACATCTATCAGTTAAACCCCCGCTGCTTCCCTTCGCAAATATTGAATGTCAATGACCCCAACTATGTAGTGATGTAAGTGTATATGTGTGTTTATAAATCTGTAACGTAAACGTGTAATTATATAATTGGCATCCAAAATAATAATATAAATGTAATGTGTATCGATCTGTTTGTTACATTTTCATGAGTAAGCAGCTGAACGGATTTTATTCGTAATAATATTTAAAGATTGTAATACGGAAGACGCATATAAGTTGTATTTTGTGTTAAACGAAATTGGAGTATAGGCAGAAGAATAGAAATAGAAATAATCTTTATTCAGACTTAATATAGTCACTTTTGAATTGTCACACTTTTTATTCTATCTCTCATTGATAAATGTTGTTTTAAATAAATGCACATTAACAAGGCATATGACAATAAACATGGAAGCTCTACGAACACATTCTTTATGCAATCAGTTACTCTGTAAAAGATGAAAAACTATTTTAAAAAATACTGTTAGAAATAAAATATAGTTAATCTATATATCTATACATATAAATAAAGTTGGAGTGTCTGTTTGTAATATTGAAATAACCGTTTTTTACTACATGCATATCAATATAACTACGGTAATGTACCATAATATCATTTTTTACAATTTTTGTCTGTCTGTCCGTCTGTTTGTTCCGGCTAATCTCTGAAATGGCTGGACCGATTTTGACGGGACTTTTATTGGCAGGTAGCTGATGTAATAATGACTAAGTTAGGCTACTTCTATTGTAGAAAAAATATTTTATTTTAGATAAATTAGAAAAAGCTAGTTAAAAATAAAAATAACATATTTACTTTCTGTGTAATATCATCTGTAACTAATTGTAATGGTTTGTGAATAAATTTAATTTAAATGATAAGAGTATATTTAAAGAAGCTACTTTTAAACTTTAAGTAGATTATCGATTTCTACAGTTAGCAGACAACAGGCGAGGCTGGGGTTTTCCAATAGTATTACTAGTGAATGTTATTTGTAGTACGAGGAGTTGGGAGTTGGGAGTCAGGTGGCGCCAGCGCGGCGGGCTCCGAAGCTGGCTGCGTCGCCGTCTGCCAGACCCTCGCCAGCCGACGGGATGGCGCGCGAACAGCGAGCTATACATTGACGGGATGTCATAACATTTTAGAATAATATCATTGGCATACAAAACCTTAATAATAAATTATAATATACCTATAATTAAATTAAGAAGGTCTAACACCATGATCATAAACGGAAATGTATGTAATTATTATTAGTTTATACCATCTAGAATAGATACGTGAAGTTATGGTACCTTACTGGCCATTTAAATTTGTTAAAATAAAAAAGGAGTGTACCTATGATTTTTAATGTCACTCAATAATAAAATACGATTATATCTGTTTGCATGTTTAAATGATCTTTCCTAAACTCTTTATTTACGGACTATATTTATCTTAAAAATTATTTCAATACATTTTGTTAATCCTGATCCCTTATCGTACAGAGAGACAGAGTTACTTTCGCATTTATAATGTTATCGCCAAAACTACTAAATCGATTTAAATTAAATTGGGTACACAGTTAGTCTAGACCCTGAGAAAGGACATAAGCTACTTTTTAATGCGGAAAAATGGTTGTAAGGGGTTGAAAAGGGGGATGAAAGTATTGTAATTTTTAAAGCTAGAAGTTTGACACTGATTAAATATGATATTCAACGTTTGTAAAAAAATTAACCATAAGGCAGTAAAATAAAACAGAAGATGAAAGTTTGTATGAAAATATGACATTTTAAAAGATAGAACGATGAAACTTTTCTCTTTAAATTTTTTGGGGTAGATTATTTAAATATTTAATGCTATCAAAAGTTACTGATCCACGTGGGCTATGTCGCGGGCACAGCTACTATTAAATTTACACACATACTCGTATATAAGAATAAAGAAGTAGAATACTTTAGGATTACAATAAAAAAAAACTATTTCAGTCTTTAGGTCCAATGGAAAGGGGGAAAAAGGATTCTTAGTAATGTGGATTGAATTTTGCTTGCAATGTACCATGTTAGGTTGACCTCCACGCGGTTCCCTCTGGAAACTAGCGTGATAAATTCTTGGGCAATTTGTCACGATGTGCTAATTCATCTGACCTCATGTTCATCTTATCATCCTCCGCTGGTGCCCCGCCAGCGTAAACTGTTAGCGCAGGTGGGTGCACCAGTCTATTATCATCTACTAAAAAAAAGTCCAATGTCGAACCACTTCCATTCTCAAATTGGTTGAAATTAATTGTCTTTGAATTGAAAATTGATAATTGGTTTCTAAAACGTTCTAATTTATAAAGTTGGTCCAATTGTTTTCATGGACGACAATTCGCAAATTGGCCGCTGCACAGTGGGAACTCGCCTAAGAAAGCCATCTCATAAATACTTTTTCTAAAACTCCGTGGATATGCTTGTATAATACCTCAAATTGTAGCCAAAGAGTTACTCTATCATTATAAATATGATTTAAATCTCTGACTATTCATACTTCATAGAATAGAGCCTCTAAAGTCAAGGAATGAAAAAAATACAAAAATAATTTTGTAACTTAAATATGTTTGGTACAAGTTTATAGTATCAAAACAATATCAAGTGATATAGTGTGAAACCATTTTAGAATGCTTAGAATGTGTACTTTACTATAAAATAAAAATATATTTAGTTTAGTCGAATATTATTTAACTAAAAATCCATATATCGTTATATGTACTATTTTCTTTTCTCAGACTTTCACTTGAAGATTTGACAGTTGCCGGCAGCTGGTTTAAAAGTTCAATCCATTTTACACATGTTCAGTTGAGCTGATTTGTTGGGCTGATGTGTTCAAATTGTGTAATCTCTTTCAATAGTAAACAAATTCTGAAATAGCACCAAACTATCGAGTAGTGTGCATGTCAAATCAAAAATCATTTATTCATATTATGTAGGATATTTCTCTCAGCGACCTCGGTCTAGCGTTCTAGCACACTGCTTTAAAACCGATGGTCGCGGGTTCGATCTCTCACGGCACAAACATTTGTATTCATGATTATGATTGTTTGTATCGGTCTGGGTGTTTTCTATGTATAATATATATTTATTTACAAAAAAATCTATTTATTTGTATCAGTTGTCTAGTACCCATAACACAAGCTTTAGCTAGCTTAACTTGGGACTAGATGGCGCTATGTGAATTTTCCTGAGCATATTATTATTAGTTGTCGAAATTCGAACATAATTTTACAGTAACATAGATTAGTTTAAGTTAGACTAGTTAGAAATAATAAACCGAGCAGCAATGTACATGGAACAGTCGGAAGCCATTATCCCGTTGATCCCGGGCGCGGCGTCGGGCGGGGGCGCAGTCTCTCAGTGCGTGCTGGAGCGACGGTCGGCACCGGCCTCGTCATGGGGCTCGAGAAGAGGACCGTGAAAATTATTGTGATTGTTCTCCTCACGCTGCTTATTATTGGTGAGATGTTTATTTACCATAAATATACCTATAATTCTTTCTAGTACTTTGCAGATAAAAAAAAGTAATATGTTTATTTACTATATATATAAAAACTTTTTTTTACTACTTACTTTTGATATAAAAATAAAAAGTGAAATGTTTATTTACTATAAATATAGCATCTTTTTTTTTACTACTACTCTTGATATAAAAATAAAAAGTGAAATGTTTATTTACCATAAACATACCTACTTTTTTTTACTACGTGTATTACAAACAGACACTTAAATTTTAATCTCTGTATAGTGTAAAATGAAATAAATTCCGCTGTATGTTCGCTTATATCTTTTAAACTACGGAACGGATTTTAATCCAGTTTTAGAAGTAGATAGAGTGATTCAAGAGGAAGGTTTATATGTACTTAGGTTTTATTATTATTTATTCAAAAAAATTAAAATAAAATGCTTAGGTTTATATGTTTTGTATTGTTTAAGAAGGTTTGTAGTGTATACAATATTTATAATAAACACAGAATTTAAAAAAAAATGTCTGTATCTTTGGTCGTGCTAATCTCTGCAACTGCAGGACGGATTTTCATAGAACTTTCACTCGCAGATAGCTAATGTTGTTAGGAGTAACTTACCAAGATTGCATTTTAGAAATTGTATTTATTTTAATAAAATAAGAGGGTAAATTCCAAATTATGTATATAGACATATATATATATATGTAGATGGAGTGATTTAAGAGGAAGGTTTATATGTACTTTGGTTTGTATGTTTTGTATTGTTTAAGGTTTGTATGTTTACATGTACATTGGTGTGAAGTATACATGTAAATATTTTACATGTAGCTAGGATAGCTAGATTTTTATAATTGAGTAACAACAGAGTTCTTTTCAGATATTCATAAGTGTTTATGTATATTTTAACAAACATTTCTATTTTGGTTCCTCTCGACTGAAACTATACATTCTGATGGTAAGATGTGAGTTATGATAAGTGTCTGCCATACAATGAATAAAACAGATACTTGTTTTTATGTTAATATTGTTTGATTTTGATCTTTATATGTAACGGCCTCGGTGGTCTAGCGGTTTAGCATACCGCTTTACTTCCGATGGTCGCAGGTTCGATTCCTCGCACGTGCAAACATTTGTATTCTGATTACGAGTATGATTGTTTGTATCGGTCTGGGTGTTTTCTATGTATATTATGTATGTATTTACAAAAATGTTTGTATCAGTTGTTTAATACCCATAACATAAACTCTGCGTAGCTTGGGAGTAGATGACGCCGTGCAAATTTCCTGCCTTACAACAATAACAAACCGACAAATATGTAGTGCATTGTCCTGCTAACAACTAAAACCTACTTTGCTTACTAGTTATGAAGCCTTAGTAACATTGTTCCTGGGTGGCCATAGACAGACGAACTGACGGCGAGTATGACGTCATTGACCGACAGTGTCGAGTGCTGTTCTAACATACATACATATACATAATATACCTAATAATAATCTCAGGACAATTCACACAGCGCTATCTAGACCCAAGTTAAGCTAGCTAAAGCTTGTTTTATGGATACTAGATAACTGATACAAATATACCTATTTTTTTTTCGCAAATACATACATATTATACATAGAAAACACCCAGACCGATACAAACAATCATACTCATGAATACAAATGTTCTTGCCGTTCGAGGAATCGAACCCGCGACTATCGGATGTAAAGCGGTGTGCTAAACCGCTAGATCACGGAGGTCATCAAAACATAAGAGTAAATACGAATTTTTGAATAAGTACATACTATTTAAATGAGAGATCTATCTAACTTTTAAATTAAACTATATTTTTTAATTATTTATTTAGGTAACACATATTTTACAAAATTCTATACATATAGTTGATGAAAATTCCTTTTAAGCATAAAAATGCCTGAGACAGGAGGCTCCACTCTCAGCTTATTTAGTAAGTTTTGAAAAATATTCCTAATTTATTATTATATTACTAGCTACTCACCCCGGCTTTGCACGGTACATATATATAAATATTGGCTGTACCGGCAAACGTTGTTTTGCCTTAAAATAAAAAAAAAAATTAGGGTTGGACTACCCCTAACATTTAGGGGGATGAAAAATAGATGTAGGCTGATTCTCAGACCTACTCAATACGCTCACAAAATTTCATGAGAATCGGTCAAGCCGTTTCGGAGGAGTATGGGAACGAAAACTGTGACACGAGAATTTTATATATAAGATGTATTATATATATAAACCTATTTCTAGAATCACTCTATCTATATAAAAAACCGCTTCAAAATCCGTTGCGTAGTTTTAAAGATTTAAGCATATATATAGGGACGTACAGACAGCGACAGTGATATATATATAAAATTCTCGTGTCACAGGCTTCGTGTCTCCGACACCGACTCCTCCGAAACGGCTTGACCGATTTTGATGAAATTTTATATGTATATTCAGTAGAGCTCAGAATAGGTTTATAACTAATTTTTATACTCCTAAGAGTTTAGGGTGGCTCACCCCAAATATTTATTTTTTATTTTTTCGCAATTATTTTTTATTATGTGCGTCTGTCCTCACAAGAAGAATGAGAAAGAAACTTGTGTGTTGCTCTTTTAAATAAATGAATAAATATATCTTTTATATGTACATATATCGTGTCATTGTGATATTAGTTACCGTACTCCTCCGAAATGGCTTGACCGATTTTTATGAAATTTTATACGCATTTAAGTAGGTGTGAGAATCTAGCTAGGCTACTATCTATTTTTGGTTTGGGTAACATTTATTATTTTGACGATATTTTTAATTTTTTATATTATGTGGAATTAAAAGGTACATACAACCCTATACTCTTCTACCATCAACCCCTGTTTTTTAATGGCCGGGTCATCTAGTAATTGTAATATACAAATAATTAAACTGTTTCCCATTGGCAGGTGGAATTCTAGGACTCGTCTTGGGCTTGTTGTTACATCGGCGATATGTGGGTGAGTACATTATCATTTTTTAATTAACGAATATAGAATAATAGATCTGTCTGCGCAGGCAGAATACTGTTGTGTCATTCTGATGAATGACACAGAATACTGTTGTGTCATTCATCACATCACAGTATTCTGCCTGCGCAGACAAGTAGGGTAGTATACTAGAGATGTGCAAGCTCGTAATAAAATTGACTCGAGTTAACTCGAGTTTAAATTCCGGTAACTCGAGTTAACTCGAGTCAACTCGAGTTACCTGGAACTAACAGTTTTTTTTATTTTTCGAATAATTCTAGTGGTTTTGGCCGCAGCTAGCCTTGAAAACTTTACCGAACCATAGAGGGAGAGTAGAAATGGCACTTCAAAGCCGCGGAAGGGACTTATGGAACGTAGCATGGCTGCTGTCAACTTCTCCTGTTTGAGTGCTATTATACTATTTATATATTCCTATCTTATTTTCTTTTCGTCTTTATTCATTTAGGGACTCATGTCCACTTTTGTTACGTCAGTCCCATCGTACCTATCTTTATTTTATACAAACAAAAAAATCTTTGGCGCCAAAATGCAGACAAAAAATAAAAAATTATAGTATTGCACAGAGATTAATGATTGAAGAGAATTCTATTATTAAGAGCAGATATATATTGTTTTATTTATTATTTAAATGTATTATAACATTTTCGAATTGCGTACCTATAAGTGAAGCACGAATTTAATAATACATAATGAAGACATTGTATTTTTATAGTGATTATTCATATCATTGTTCCAAAATGAATGTATCCTTTTAAACAAAATACATAAATATTATTGGTTATGTATGTATACCACAGAGCTGGAAGTGTGGCCTCGCTCCGAGGAATACAATTGGGAACAACCGAGGATACAGTTCCGGCCGTCGGACGCTGGCAGCTGGCACCATTGGTATAGACGCATCAACGAATTTCTAAGAGGTAGGTACGCACTGTTTAGAACAAATAACCTAATAACTGTATTTACACGTACGCTTTTTTTCGCGCGAATATGCTTTCCTGCATGTAAATGTAGACAAATAGAATGAGAAAGACTGCGCGCACCGCCGTTAGTGCATTCCCGCGTCTTTCAATCGTGCGTTCTTTGGCGCCATTTTTGTAATAATTAATTGTCATTGCAAAATGGCGGACGTCTGACTATAAAGCATAGATTATTATAGAGTTACTGAAACTTTATAAATCTAACGTCTTTGGAAAATGTAATCTGTGGAATAAAGATAACATAAGGAAGTGTAATAACATGAATTATGCGTGCAATCACGCGCGAATGAGTGAATACATGAAATAACTCACGATTGCCTACGTTCGCTTTCTCGTACTTACCTCAAGGTATTCTTTGAATAGTGTGAGCGAAACCTAGGCAACTGCTAGGGAGTAGACGAATAGACCTAATATCATTTTAATCTGAAAGACTGTTTGTTTTTTACTTCAACCTAATACAGGGTTATAATATAGTAAAGGTATACAAATATATGTCAAGGGAAAAGTATGTAAACTTCAGAATTTATAAGTTTGAGAACAAATTCCTTTAATTTTCCACTTTCTTAGCCGAAAGCCACTTTGGTGAAAATGGCTACCTATTTTGTATAAATTAACCCTAAGTATACAGCGCTTGTCTCAATTTCAAATACAATTTCGTAGTATTTAAAATGGAGAAAGATACTATACCCTGAAATGTACGAGTATCTCTGTCACACAAATGAAATAACGAATATACATAGTGAGAAGGCATTACATGTTCTTAATTTGAATTTCTATCTATCGAATTGAAAACTATGGAATAGCACTGACGACAGTGCCTGTATGGGCTTAGTCCTTTTGCCTTTCTCTAAGATGGGAAAACCGAACCAAAAAAGGCGGAATATCTCAATTCTCAATTCAAATTTTGTAGCACATAATAAATATTTTTACACATTTTTTTATAAGCAGATTTTTATCTACAAATGGAAATGCAAAGGTACAAGGATATAAAGCCTAATCTACTATTTTTTTTAAATTCTAGATTATTCTTTACTGTTTTGTTTACCAGATTATGAGACAACAGTGCCAGATGAACCGCCCAGGGCTCCATGTTCGATTCACAACCGACGCGATCAGCAGATGCGTTCCGACAACTGCGACCTGGCTATGAGGATGTGGGCACCGTGCACTGCCGACGAGTTCTATGGCTACCATATCGGGAAACCCTGCGTTTTCTTAAGGCTATCTCATGTAACAATTTTGTTTTTACTATTTAATTAAGACTATGATCAGTTTACCTTGTGGGTAGTGGCAACCATCGCTTGTATACCTGAACAGCAGAACAGATATTAAGATGCCATCCCTGAAATCTAAGGTGTCTTGTAAAATTACAGGTATTAGAGGTATTAGGAACCTGTAATACATGTAATTTTACTGCCTTATCTGACCATTAAATCGGAATATAGCTAGCAAATTAAACTGCTTAGCGGCAAAAGTAGGTGAGACAGTGGCTCGTGTTGACCATTTTGTACAATAGATCGGGCTCGAGCGAAGTATCTCTGTCCTTTTCGGATTCCTTGCCAAGGAAAGAGATATGTGGAGGGGGCGTAACGGAAGAAAAATAGGTATACAGATGCAAACAAGGAGGTTAAAAACAGATTCACGTAAATTACTCTATGGTTGTTTCAGATTCATTACTGGGTTCCAGAGCCGTACAACATGTCCATGCCGATGGCGCTACCACCAGAGATGCCTGAACATCTGAAGCATGCCATGGTTAGGAACAACTACTTTCTTTCAAACATTATTACGCCCCCGGTGGTCTAGCGGTTTAGCACATCGCTTTAGTTCCGACAGTCGCGGGTTCAATTCTTAGATCGCTAGATCAATTACCTGGTAATGGAAACACTATTATTACGGCCTCGGTAGTTTAGCGATTTAGCACATCGCTTCACTTCCGACTGTCGCGGGTTTGATTCTAAGGTCGGATTTCACCAAAGAAACTGATCGCGTTTAGTTCGTATTGAACGCCATTAAAACGTTTGAACGTGTTCAATGCTTCATTTTACATTTCACCACTACAAATTTCGCTAAACACGTTTATAAATTCTGAACGTCTGATTTCCTACAGTTAACTCTTTAAACGTATTTAAAGCAGCTGTCAGTTGTCAAACAGTCATCAATCAAATTTTTGACAATACAATATCGGGAATCGAAACATGCAATACTATAGAAGATCTGCATCACATATTAATGTAGTGTGTCCGAAAAGCTGTTAAAAGGGAATTGTTTTTGAAAAAAATTGGACTGAATCGGCTTGATGTGGTATGTACCACGGTACACTATCTGATCCTGTATCATCGCCAGCAAAATTTTTATTTTCATTGTGCAGTAGAAGATAAGATTAGTAATAAGATACGATGGGACTGGCATTATCATATTATGATAAAAGTCCCTAAATAAATGTAAGAATAAAAAAAAAAATCGGGAATAAAAAGAAAATTACCAGTAGTGTAAAAAAAATCCTCAATAAAATATTTTTTTACTAGTTTATAGGTAAAAGTTGTTGTTTTATACTTTGTAGTCGACGGTACATATTAAATTAAAAATTAAAAAACTTATCCTAATTATCACATGATTGAATTACAAATATTTCTTAGAATTATTTTATTTAAATTACCCATTGCATCAAATATTAATTTATGTGCGTGTAACACTGTGAACGAATGAAAATCTAAACTTCATTTTGGTAAGGGCGATCTGTATAATGTTGGTGAATTCCATTTAAAGTAAACCGGGATCAATTTCGTTCTTTTTTTCCAGTTCACGCTGAACTCCGTTTCCTTGAACTTGTTTATGCTACGATTGGTGAAATCGGACCTAAGACCTCTGTACCACCAAAGCGGACGTATCGCTGATTAAATGCCGAAGGGTTTTTAATTAATTTAATTTATTCCAAAAATGTTGTCTGAATCATTATAATTTTTATATTCATTAAAAAATAAAAAGAGCAACACACAAGTTTCTTGCACAATCTTCTTGTAATGAGTCTGCGTTCCTAATGAATGGTAGAAAAAATAAAATGTGACTATTCAAAAGTGCTTATATTATGTTTGTTTGAATAAAGATTATTTATATTTCTATTTGTTTTTTATAGCATCAATACCCGGCCCGACACTACGGGGATTATGTATGGGTTTCCTGTGGAGGGGAGTACAATGCAGACGAGGAGAACATCGGCCCCATCCAGTACATCCCCGCCGGTCTACCGCCAGGGTTCCTCATGTCCCGGCTGCACACAGCAGACCGCATTCCCTACTCCTCCAGGAATATGCCAGATCAGATCCCTGGTCCGTTAATTGCTGTGTTCTTTGAGAATCCAAGACGTAAGTTTTACTGTTATTTTACTATTTAGTAATATTATAAACGCGGAAGTTTATGAATGTGCATGCAGCAAAGTCTATTACTCACTAAACGATTTATAAAATGACGAGCGTGTATGGCAATAATTGTTCATGCACGAGATTTTCATTTAATGTTAGACATAGACACCAACATAAATATACATTTAAAATAAGCTAGCTTTTAAAAAAAAAATTCAATTGAGTTTTAATTGAGTTCTTTTCAATTGAATACTGTACTGGACGGTAGGGAAAAAAATATAATATAAGATTGTGTTATTGGTACTAGATAACTGATAGCAATACATAGATTTTATTCCTAAATACATACATATTATACATAGAAAACACCCAGACCGATACAAACAGTCATACTTATGAATACAAATGTTTGCGCCGTGCGACGAATCGAACCTGCGACCATCAGAATTATAGCACTGTGCTGAACCGCTAGCGAAGCCGTCATAAAAAAACCACCTACAGAACTCGCCTAGGCTTGCCATTTCTATTGATTTTAATGTAATTGTTTTGTTTTAATTTACCTATTGTCTATGGTCTACAGGTGGCCTACTAATCAACGTGGAGTGCCGCATATGGACCCGAGACATTTACTACGATCGGTCTAGTCGCGTTGGACGAGTACGCTTTGAATTGTATATCGATTAATTTGTTTTACTTCAAACAATACAATTAAAAAAAATAAGCGGAGCACTCAGAACAGTTCTTACAAAGCTATCTAATCCCAAACTTAGCAGCGCCTGTACTATCTGAACATAATACACATACGTAGAAATAAAAAACAAAATTTAAAACCTCTCAGAGGAATTCTCAGTAATTAAATTATTTATTTTTGTTCTGCTCCATGCTATTGAAGTTAATAATTTATTGATTACATGGTGTCTAGTGTAAGTTAAATAATAATGTTGTGCTACTGCCGAGTTGAGTGATAGAGTATTTACTCTAAAGTTAATGAATATTGAATAATAATCTCAGGACATAATATTCTCAGGACAATTCACACAGCGCCAGCTAGACCCAAGTTAAGCTAGCTAAAGCTTGTGTTATGGGTACTAGATAACTGAAACATATATATAGATATTTTTTTTTTGTAAATACATACATATTATACATAGAAAACACCCAGACCGATACAAACAATCATAGTCATGAATACAATTGTTTGTGCCGTGCGAGGAATCGAATCCGCGACCATCGGTCGTAAAGCGGTGTGCTAGACCGCTAGACTACCGAGGTCGTCATTGAATATAAACTTTGATATGACAACGTACTTTAGACGACAAGCAAAAGTATAATAATACGGCAAAATAATTTGCATTGTAGCTCTTTGGATTATGAAAATACTATTATTTTGCTGTGCACAATGTTTTTATAAAACCTAAATTGCTGACAGTACATATGTAAAGATGGCGCCACCGTGCTAAGATCTCTAATATACTTCAATGAATTCTATTTAAAAAGTATAAGTTATTTTTCTTAGGATTGTTTTAGTATATATTTATGTTGCCAATATTTTGAAAAGTAACTATTACTTCAAATATCTTTTTAATGAATGAAAACTCAAATAACAATCTTAGTTATTTATGTTTTTTAACGCTTAAAGATTTAATGAGTCTATTTTTGTGGAATATGCAATCTTAAGCTTTATTTAATTATATTTCTGTACCGAAAATTTTAATTTCATTGTTCTGCTTCGTGTCAAAAAACTACTATTTTAGAAGTAATTTTTTTGTAGCGGGGATTTTAATTGGACTACAAATACTTTTTTTTATAATAATAGTAATAATTTTATTTGTAAGAGATTTTGGGTACATTTTATGCTTATAATATAGTTTTACTATCGATATCTGTTATATTAACGGTTGTAGTTACTTATATGTTCTTGCAGTAACGGTATCGTCAATAAATAAGGTAATATACGTACTTATTATAAAAAAAAAAGTTACAGTATTCTTAATTTAAATATCATGTTTACAATTATAAATTAATTGCCTATACATTATATTAAGTACATTCCAATTTTTTTAAAAAAACAAAAGCTATCATTCTTATAGTACAAAGAAGAAATATTGTCTCAGTTAAAAAGATATACCTACATTTATATTTGAAGTTAACAATTAACTATATTTATATTTTTGAGTAAATTTATTATTAAGGAACTACAAATAAATGAAATTAACTTTCTGTTTTATAGTAAGTAAAACACATTAAAAATACGTATAGGTACCGACTATGTTTGTGTTATCCTATTTATTATTAGTACAATTAAGAAGATTTCGATATAAATATTAAAAATGGATAAGTTTCGCGTTGAGCAATTATTTACGTAATTTGTAATAATTTAAATATTAAAATATAATTTATAAGTAAGTTATAATTACTAAGTACTATATCTAGATAGATGTTTAATTTTATAAGCGCAAGTATACCTTTAACTTTACACTTTACTGCGGTTGATGCTTATGTCTGTAATTAAATTGAGTGTTTTTGAGATTTAAAACTAAAGAATTACTAAATGTTATTATTAAATAATATGTATGTAAACTATGTACCTTCTTATTAAATGTTACCAATTCCAAATATTAACTTCGTTATTTTATTTTTGTAGATACCTATTATTGTCATTATTTTTTTATTAATTATTTCTACTATAGTAATTTTTATAATTATTTTAGTTATAATGTATGCGTGTGAATCACATAATTTTTTTTTATATTAGTACTAGTGTTGTCATGGAAGGTATTTTAATAAAAGAAGCTAATTTTGTTGTGTATTCGTAATGTTTGTGAATAAATATAAGTATTTTAAATAGTCTTTTTCCTTTTATTATTACCTATGCTGCTCTACGACATAGTGTTAGCTTCAATACATAAAGAACACACAGTTGACTAATTTGTTACTTACATTTCAAATTTAAAACCATAGCGAGTCACGTGATGTTGGTGGCGTCACGATTATGCCGCCACCAATAGTAATAGAGAAAAAGAGGCCGGGAACAAGGAGGGAGCGGGCTACTCTCTCTTTGTTCGAGGCGACTGAGACGACCAGACGTGAAGCTACAGCGCCGCAATTTATGTGTGTGTAATTTGAAAAAGGAATAAAATTAAAGTACTGCTGCATCGACATATCATTTCTGAAACTTCCCAATAATAGAGTGTAGCTTGTAGGGACTGGTCTGTTAAGGTTACGAATACTGATTAAATTATTTGCAATAGCATATGCTAGTGGTCACTTTGTTCTCCCAAATTTGAATTTAAAAATGATTCAAGTATTATTGTAAACATGTACAATATTTATTTGAAAAGATTACGAGTTGAATTTCTTGTTAGTTCTTCACATCTCGATATCAATCTCGAGTTTAGATGTCTTAATTCAATATTAATATTGACTGTTCTGGAAGTCTTAACTGAGTCTTCCTATCTAAATACCTACCTTTAATTTTGTACTTTTAATAAGAACCACACTTTCATAACTTACCCAATCTTTAAGTTAGGATATCTTAGGTTATGATATTAGATCAGAGATAAAATTATTAATATATCGATGCGGGATAACTAAAAATGTAAGTTATTTAGTGATTTCATCATTAAAAGGTAAATTGAAACTTGTATTAATTAATTTTTATTTCGAAATATGTCACAGTTAAAACGATAAAAGACAATAAACAAAAATATATATTTTTACATTTAGGTACACAAAATGAAATATTAGAACTGTTATTTACTAGAATCAACGGTACTGAGAAAAGGTTCCTGTGCAGTAAGGATATGTAATAATATATCCAAGCAGTAGTATTAAATCTGTATATGTATATGGCAACACAACTCCCTGTCGAACGAGCCGTCAACGATATCCACGAATGTACTAATCTGCAAACAGATGACATATTGACATTTGTATTTTTTTTATTAACCTGTGCTTGTGGTCGACATTTTCGTTGTACATCGCCGGATTATTAGCAAATCATTATTTGCTTTCCATTTTAAATATTTTGTCTTAACTTATTTTAAGTGATTAAAGTCTAAAATATAACGTGCAAATGGCTCGCTTAAGGATTTTTGTGATATTCGCTATATTATACAGCTGTTCTGAATTGGGTAAGTGCGTTCTAAAATCGTGTTGCAACAATTCGTATTTCTTTTCTTTGTTACTTTTTATCACTACTTGAGGCGTGAGTAACGCCATTCCAGCTATTGTTGTCGAACTTTACTTGCGTAATTGGCGAGATTGCAGTTAAGTTGGACAAATATGGCGTGCGAATTTTCTAGAATATCAATATACCCGCTTTTGCGTAGGTCATGGCGAGTTCACTACTCCAAAAACGGTGCTGATAGATGTGCCGCCTCAGCATCCGGTGGAGGCTTCTAGCACTGAGAGGACGACAGCGCCAGCTGAAGTTGTTACTACTGAGACGGCACCTCCATCGACGACCAGTTCCACCACCACGTCGACAACAACCACTCCACCTCCCCCGCCCCCGCCGCCGCCCACGCCTTCTCCTACACCTGCTCCTGCACCTGCTCCTGCACCAGGACCAGTTCCTGCACCAGACCAGGGTACCTGGCATTACACAGATGCAAGCAACAACACCTGCATTGTGGTCCAGTTTGCCGCCCAGCTCGATGTGAAGTATCCACAGGGAATAAACAACAGTAAGTACATTTTTTTTTAAATATTTATTTTGGTGGGTAATTTGTGATACATAAATTTTGGTATACATACATTATAATTCTCGTGGTTACCTTATATCTACAGTCTGATTGAAGTTAGTATCTACTGATGTAACTTCTCCCTCACATAGTTTATTTTTAACTAGTTGTTCCTGTGACTTCATCCGCATGAAATTTAACTTATATCTTAAATAAAAGTAGCCTAAGTTATAGTATGCATATGAATATAAGTACAGTACATATACCAAAATAACATTTTTTTATAATTTTTGTCTGTCTGTCTGTCTGTTCCGGGTAATCTCTGAAATGGCTGGACCAATGTTGGTGGGACTTTTTTTGGTTGGCAACTTATGTAATAAAGAGTAACTTAGACTACTTTACATTTAGAAAAATAAAGTTAAATTCCACACATATGAAGACACGGGAACAGCTAGTATTCAATAGAATTGGTCAAAATATTCTGCAATGTATAATGTATCTACTTGCAATTGACTATATGTTTGTACTAAGTATATAAATTATGTTCTTATCTGTCTGACTCACTATTATTTGATACTGCTGCCATGTAAATGTTTCATTTACATGTTTTATTTATATGTTCTTTAACATATGAAACAATATCATACTACCCTTTATTTTTACAATCAACTTGTAAATGTACTTGTTTTAAATGTAAGTAAAATATTTGAAATTTTTTGAAGATATCTTTTATCGACTAAGGTCTCTTAAGGACTGTATAAATAGTTTATTATTAGTTTAGTTTTAATGTGGCTTTTAGAGAAAAAGTAATTCAATCGAGCTTCTTGCCAGTTCTTCTCAATTGGATCTATATACTGAGTTGTATGGTAGGGATAAAAAAAAAATAATCTAAAATCTTGATGTTCATAAATGACTAAAATGTCCTACATGAATAAATTATTTTTTAATTTGAATTTTGAAGAGAAACTACGGTCGCTAATGGTAAAAGACATATATTTCAAATTGACAATAAAAATGGAATGAAACAAAATATTTAAAATATATTCATACATTCATAATTTAAGAGCTACACTCTCATCAGTGGACCTTTGCCACTTTCCGCGATCTTCCATCATGCTTTTTTTTTGATATGACACGACTCCCATCTTCTCCTTAATTTGTTTGATGTAGCTGTGCCTTAGTCTATATATATAAATATATATACCAATATAAATATATATAAAAAATATAATTATCATACAAAAAGGTGCGCTATGCACAGTATCTTTATTTTCTTATGGATGATAGTGGAATGGTGCACCCACCTGCGTTAATGGTATAAGCTGGGTTACCAGTGGTGGTTGATATGATGAGCAGGACGTCAGATCAGTTAGCCCAACATGGTAAATTCACTATGAATTTATCGCGATGCTTTCCAGGGGGAACATTGGGGGTACATTGCTACCAATGGGGTTAATAGGCTATAGAACCTCTACGCGGTTCCCCCTGGAAACCATCGTAACAAATTCCTGGTGAGCTTGTTACGATGGGCTAACTGACCTGACCTCATGCTCATCTTATCATCTTCCACTGGTGCCCCGCCAGCGTAAACCGTTAGCGCAGGTGGGTGCACCATTCCATTATCATTAAAAAAAAAATAGGCTATAGAAGGGGGGCTATATTAGGGGGGAAGGGGATTGTTAGTAAGGTGGACTCATGACTCCATTACTAGCAATGTACCATGTTAGGTTGACCTCCACGCGGTTCCTCCTGGAAACCATCGTGGTAAATTCCTGGTAAATTTGTCACGATGGGCTAACTGACCTGACCTCATGCTCATCTTATCCTCCAATGGTGCCCCTCCAGCGTAAACCGTTAGCGCAGGCGGAAGCACCAATCCATTACCAACTCTTAAAAAAAAATAGGCTATATTACTGAGATATCGTTTAATATTCGCTATAAAATAGAATAAAATAGCTAAGCCACTTTTGATAAATTAATATCTGCAATTTTAGGCATGTAGACACGAAGGAGGTCATGGTGAGGCCTTAATGTCTGATAATGTGAATCCATATTTATAATTGAATATAATTTGTTTATTTAGTAATTCTTACATTTCTGATAATATTGTACATGTACAATTTTATATATAAAAATTACGGGTCACGTTGTTTGTCCGCGATAGATAGACTCAATTTTTATTTGCGTATTGTATACAATTGATCCAACTTGAAAGATAGGATAGCTTACATCTCAATTTATAGTCACAATATTATTTTATTGCAAATTATATTTTTATATAAAGAAACTGTTAGCCACAGCAACGCGTGGCCAGGTCTGTTGGTCTAATATATGAAATTCTCGTGTCAGGGTGTTTATTACCAAACTCCTTCGAAACATAAACCGATTTTTATGAGATTTTATGTGCATATCGGGTAGATCTGAGAATCAGCCAACATCTATTTTTCATACCGCTCAAGGATGACCGGTGATAAGTATTTTAAATAGTCTTTTTCCTTTTAATTTTACCTATACTGCTCTACGACATATTGTTAGCTTCAATACATAAAGAACACTCAGTTGACTAATTTGTTACTTACATTTCAAATTTAAAACCATAGCGAGTGACGTGATGTTGGTGGCTCACCACCCACCCCTTAAATATTTTTTATTATTTTCTTGATAACATTTTATATTTTAATTTTAATAGGATTTGGCATTAAAATAATAATAATAATAATAATAATAATAATAATAATCTCAGGACAATTCACACAGCGCCATCTAGACCCAAGTTAAGCTAGCTAAAGCTTGTGTTATGGGTACTAGATAACTGATACAAATACACAGATATTTTTTTTGTAAATACACACATATTATATATAGAAAATACCCAGACCGATACAAACAATCATACTCATGAATACAAATGTTTGTGCCGTGCGAGGAATCGAACCCGCGACTATCGGTCGTAAAGCGGTGTACTAGACCGCTGGACCACCGAGGTCGTCATTATAAAAAGTACATACAACCCTAAATTTTCACCCTTCTACTACAGATTTCTATTTTTAATAGCGATATTAGTACTTTTTATATGGCAAAACAACGTTCGCCGAGTCAGCTAGTATTATCTATACATATAAATCAAATTGGAGTGTCTGTTTGTAATATTATATAATATATAAGATATATTAAATTCTCGTGTCACAATGTTAGTTACCATTCTTGGCTTGACCAATCTTTATGAAATTTTGTATGCATATTCAGTAGGTATCAGAATCGGCTGCTATCTATTTTTCATACCCCTAAGTGATAAGGGTTGTCCACCTTAACATTTTTTTTATGTTTTGATATATTTTTTTAAAATAAATATATACAACCCTATTATTTTTACGGATGATAATGGAATGGAGCCCCCGCATGCTGGGCACCCGTGGGGGATGATAGAATGAGCATGAGGTCAGGTCAGTTAGCCCATCGTAACAAATTCACCAGGAATTTATCACGATGGTTTCCAGGGGGAACCACGTGGAGGTCAACCTGACGTTGTACATGTCAATGGGGTCATCAGTCCACATTACTAACAATACCCTTCCCCCATACAACCCTATTTCCACCCTTCTACCACCAACCCCTATTATTTAATTGTGATATTAGTATTTAAATTTATACGGCAAAATAACGTGTGCCTTGACAGCTAGTTTTTATATATAAAGATATAGGAATTTTTCCTGTACTAGATATACAAATTATGATGTTTTAAAATCAACTTTATGTTTATTATTATATGACACATTTTCCTGCAGTAGAAATATTCATAATATCGGTCTTGATATCTGGCCATATGTGACTGACGCCCATTTCAATTGAATCAATGTCTGGTAGCCTTATGTAGTGAATGTAATAATGTTGTGTGAGAAATACATATATATGTATTGCATTGAACACTAAGCAAATATCAATATCATTACATAGTATAAAACAAAGTCGCTGTCGCTGTCTGTCCCTAGGTACGCTTAAATGTTTAAAACTACGCAACGGATTTTGAAGCGGTTTTTGTAATACATGAGTGATTCAAGAGGTAGGTTTATATATATATTACATGTATACCCGTGCGAAGCCAGGGCGAGTAGCTAGTATCTAATATATAGAATTCTCGTGTCAGTGTTTGTAACAAATTTCCGAAACGGCACGACTGATTCTTATGAAAAGTCATCTGTTTTTCTGAGTGGTCTGAGTTTTTTATTTTTTTAAATAATCAGTAGGTCTCAGAATGTCAATCTCAATCATTTTTCATACCTTTAAGAGACAAGGGTGGTCCTTTTTTTATTTTTTGAATTTAATTTTTAGTTTGCCATTAAAATACATAGAACCGAAAATTTTCACCCCTTTCTTTTTAATACTTTAATAAATTTCTCCCGGCGGTCTCTAACTGTCTAGTAAAAATGTATATCGCACGATAGCGTGGATACTTATCCAGTGTTAATCTAGGATACCGTCTATTAGTTTCACAAAATCTTATTCAAAGCCGTCTAGTAATTTTTACTTAAAAGAGTAACAAATATACACAATCTGTGCTGGCCGCTGCCCCCGGGAGTCGGAAGGCGCGTCGGCAGGCACCGAGTCGCTGGTACGCCCGGACGTCAATCTATCCTCCTCGAGGTGAGAGAGTGCCCTTTTCAAAGCACTCCCTACCTGAAGGGCCTCAATCAACGCCGCGGGCGCGTTGCGGGTGAAGGACCAGGTGCCTCTTTATAGGCACCACGATGATTCGTCCTGAGAAGGACGTTTACACGATGCTGATGCGACGGTGACACGATGCGATGACACGATGCGTGAAAAGGGTTGTGACGACTATGCTTGACGATGGCGATGATGGACGGGCAGTAAATGAGAAAACGGTTCTTGTGGTTCAGAATGCAGAGGCGAGGAGAATTTCTTCAGTGGTTGATTTTGCTATTCAGAAGTCGAGTTCGCTATTCGCTAATCGAGGTCAGATTCGCTATGCTGAGGTCTATTTCGCT